CTGCTCATGACATAAACTTATTTACCATATTTTCAGAAGGAGATTGGCAGAACCAAACCTCCCTCCACACGGAACTGTATCTGCAAGGCCTTATGAAATATACAAATTACACAGTTAAAGTAGCAGGCTTCTCTAACTACGGAGCTGGACCATACTCCTACCCGATTGTCTGCAGCACATTGCAAGATGGTAACTAATATTGTGAATGATTATAGAAAAATTTATACCAAAAATTGAAGATAACAAACTCTATGAAAACCATTTATTATCATAGTCTTTTGGTTCTTACTCTTCATATTTAATGTTAAACGATATTTCAGATTTCTATTCACCTATATCATCTGTAACTTTTATATAACAAACTTTGTTTCCTACATCAACGGTGTATTCTAAGTAATAAACATCGATTATTAAAATATCTAGGACAATTACAAAAGCACGATAAAACGCACATGTTACTATTACCCGTAAGAAACAAAGTACCCATAATACGAGGGTCAAACTGAAAGTTCTTAGAACTGGCCACTTATAAACAATATAATAAAAAAATAATTCTAAAATTTGAAAATATAACTCTTTGCCAATATTACTGAGTATATATTTCATTCATTTGTCATTTGTTTTACGATTTGGCGGCAAATTGAAAATTGTCTGTGTCACGTCATCATGAATTTAACACGAGAAAATTTTCGTGCAATGATTTTTTATGACTTTCGATGTCATTTAAGTCAACAAGAAAGTTATGATAGACTACGATTGGCCTTTCACGATGAAGCCCCATCTCGTGCGACTGTTTACAACTGGTTTAATGAGTTTAAACGTGGTCGCACTAATCTCACTGATGATTTACGTGAGGGACGGCCTTCTACGGCGACGACTGAAGATAACATCTGTGTTGTGCGGCGTATGATAGAGACTGACAAAAGAGTGACCTATCAACAGATTCGGACAAGCTTAGGCATCGGTATGAGTCAAGTGCACAAAATCCTCCACGAACATTTAGCGGTCAGGAAGCTTTACGCCCGGTGGATACCTCATAATTTGACTGAGGCTCAAAAACTCCATCGTGTGGATTGGTGTCGTAAAATGATTGAAAGATTTAACGGAGGTGACTCAAATGCTGTGTTCGACATACTAACAGGTGACGAAAGCTGGATTTACTGTTATGATCCTAAAACCAAAAGACAATCTGCTCAGTGGGTGTTTCCTTTCGAGGAGTTGCCAACTAAAGTGAAGAGAGATCGAAGTGCGGGAAAAAAAATGGTGGCCTCGTTCTTTGGAAGGATAGGTCATTTTGCAACAATTGTGTTAGAGGATCAAAAAACAGTTTCTGCAGAATGGTACACTACCAATTGTTTGCCACTTGTCTTGGAAAAAGTTCGAGAGAAACGACCTCGCAGTAGGATCCTCCTTCACCACGACAACGCCTCGTCGCACACCGCCAAGCGAACGATCGACTATTTGGCGACATCAAACGTTGAATTACTGGGTCACCCGCCGTATAGCCCCGACCTCGCGCCTTGTGATTTTTATTTATTTCCAAAAATTAAAGAAAAACTTAAAGGAAAGCGGTTTATGAATGCTGAAGAAGCGGTGGCTGCGTATCGCGATGCCATTGAAGAGACCCCTAAGGACGAGTGGGCAAAGTGCTTTTCCCAGTGGTTCCATCGCATGCAGCGGTGTATTGACGTGATTGGACAATATTTTGAAAAGATATAATAAAACTAATAACTGGCTAATGTAATTTTCTAAGAACTTTCAGTTTGACCCTCGTAGTACATTACGATATTAGTGCGTTATGATGGTTATAACATGCGAGGCGGAATATCAGCCCGAGCCGAAGGCGAGGGCGTAATTGAGCCGAGCACGTATATCGTACGATGTTTTTTAACACATTTGCGAGGAAACAGAAAAAAAAATTAAATAAACTCTATCTGTGAATGTACACTGTTGGTTTCCCGCCATATTAACAGCGCGCTAGTGCTGCCTACTGACTGGCGCCACGCGGCGATTAGTTCGAAATTTGAATAGCAACAGCGCGCGAAATGGCAAATAATACTGATATGGAATTTGTATGGACTATAACTTAACTATTTGCTTTGGTAACACACGCGTTTTTTATGACCCGCTTTACATATTTAAAGCCGGTGGAATTACATCAGCTTTACGAGCAAAGGTGTTAAAATTAATTAACAACATCATCAACCCTGATTCTTCGATTTGTTCTGGTATAATATCTTTTAAACAACATTATCATAGTTTCCTCAGGATTCTTCTGCAAGCCTTTCATCTACAATCACGTAACATCCTATTAATATTATAAAGGCGAAAGTTTGTAAGTATGGATGTATGGATGTTTGTTACTCTTTCACGAAAAAACTACTGGACGGATTTGGATAAAACTTTACAGCAATATAGGTTATACATCAGAATAACACATAGGGTACTTTTTACTGGGAAAACTTCTCACTCCCACGGGATACCGACTTCCACGCGGACGAAGTCGCGGGCGTCCACTAGTTGTATTATACAATCACGTTTCATCACTGTGACTAGAGAATGCTGATCTGACAGATTTTATGCAACTTTAAAAAGTCTATAAAAAGGAACCCTAATGTAGCAGAATGAGTGAACCATGGCTTTTGAAGCAGTGTTCATGATAGCTCGTAAATTAATCGTAAAGATAAATGAATTATTCATAACTTGAGAAAAATATTTTTATATTATTTTTCATAAACTATATTACCTATTCAAGTGGTTAATATTTCTATTCTACTTAAGTTATACAGGTTTAATAGCTTTATAACTTAAGTAGTACAAACTAATTCCTTCTTTTCCAGTGCCTGGTCCTCCTGCTGATATCAAAGTGCTCGTTCTCTCATCGTCTTCTTTACTTGTTAGCTGGAAGAAACCTGAACAACCAAACGGCGAACTTTTATACTACACTGTATACATCAAACCTACATCAAGGTTTGTATATTTATAACAATCTTATATGATAGACACAAAGAAAAATTTTTTAAACCTCCCTCCAGAATTATATTTTTTTCTTTGGAAGAATAAATCAACAAATTTTAACAAATATCTAACAATTTGTTTTTTATCTGTTCATGTATAAATCATAATTGAGCATATAAACTTCGTCAGGAAATCTTCACGTCAAAAACTGCTAGCTGACCGTACTCGTTCAATATTATACACTATCACCAAAGGGTGCATGGAATAATAACCTCGTGCGTAAATTACATCACACGTATTTCATGTTTCTTCGCACAGCTAGGTATTTTGTAAGATTCCCCAATCCCTAGTATGGCGTAAGAACACACTAAAAATAACAAATTTTCAAAACCGGCTCTTCTACCCGGTTTCCCGTAGGTACTTCCGAAATAACGTAGATTTATTTTAATCTAAATTATTTTTTATAAAATCTAAAGCCTAAAATTTTAACATTTAAAAAAGTTCGATCTGAAGTAGTGCAAACTTTCTATCAAAAAAATTTGATCTTGAAATAATGACGTCACTAAATGTAAGACTCTTGCCACCCTTGGTATACTTCCTCGACCTTCTCCCCACCGTTGATAAGTTAAGTAATTTTTTGGTAACAAGATTCATATCAACCGCATTTTGTTTTCACAGTAATGGACCGCCACGTACAATACGCGTGGACGCGGACGGTCGCAGTACAGTGGAAGTGAAGGATTTAGTGAGCGGACGCACTTATGAAGTCTGGCTAACGGCGAGCACAACAGCCGGGGAGGGCGCCGCCACTAGGAGGGTCTCACATACTCCTACACATAGAGGTCTAATATTTGTTTCTTACCTAAGTGATATTATTTTTGTAAAATGAGAATATCCGTTTATAACCGTATACAGAAACGGTAAAAGACCACAATGTTAAGCTTGAGCTTGCTACGACGAAGCGGGGACGCGTAAGATCACCTGCCACTTAGCTGACGACGCTGCAAAAAATACTTCAGGTCTATTTTCACCGTCGTCAGCTAAGTACGAACAATTTGACGTAAACACGGCTCTGGACCGTGACAAAAAAGAGAACAATGTTTCTTAAATAAACAGTAACTATTTTTTTGTTTACTATCGATAAAAAATTTGAAAATTTTCTGTATATGCTACCTTTTTAGTAGGGTGACGATAATTAAATAATAGGATATTTGACTAATTTCGAAATATAGTTTTAAATTATTATTTATTACATAATAAGCACATTACATTAATATTTCGGGTAAACTGTATTTAAAAACTCTGTCTTTGGCATACATGGTCATACGCCGCCATTACGTCACACGCAAGTAAATAAACAAACCTCGTCAACAGGAAGCCATATTTGCTAGCGTGTGACGTCATCGGAGTAACAACGACATACAAGGCGTTTTCGACTCAGACAAAAAGTCAAAAAATATTTGATTTTATTTTGTGTTATCTGCAAGAATTATACATTATTTCGTTTATAATGTATAAAGTGAAATATGATCTATTACTAAGCTATTATCTTATGTGATGACCAACTTTTAATATAGTTAGAATTATTGTATTTGATCAATTATGATTTTTCATAAAGAATATTTTTCAGTATAGTATTTTGATCTAATATAATTAGATCAAAAATCATCAAATATAATATTGTTAGATCAAATATCATCAAATATATTATTATTAGATCAAATATCATCAAATATAATATTATTATAACAAATTTTCATCTTTATCGAAAGTTTAAATATTTGTAAAAATATTTCTTTCAGCTGTTTAGGTCGATTGCCTGAACATTGATGAGAATACGTTCTGTATTAGCGAAAAAGTAACGAGTGCTTGAAAGATTCGTTAGGTCCTGGGTAGCTCAGTGGGTATAGCACTCGCTCGGATTGCAAAAAATCATAGGTTCAAATCATGGGATTTGATCGGTGTGCCAGGGATCAAGTGGATTGTTCAAGTATTTTTCATTAAGAATATTTTGTATGTTGTAATATTTAGTATTTCGTATGATGGCAGTGGTGGCGGGCGTGGGGTCGCTGGGCGGCGCGGTGTCGGTGGGCGTGGGCAGCTCGCTGCTGCTGGTGTGCGCGTGCGTGGGCGCGCCGCCGCCGCGCACCGTGTGGTACCACCAGCACAACATCATCACGCACCACCCCAGGTTCACCAGGAACCACGACGACAGCTTGCTCATCAACAGTGAGTCGATACCCGTATTATTATGACGTTGGAAAGCAAACACGTAGTAACCCGCTTCAGAGCAGAAAATCTTTTATTTTTTTCGATAAATAATTACTATAAACGTCCATGGTAACAAATAAGGTGTTCCTAAGTCAATTTATACGGAAATAAGATATTTTTTTTTTTTTGGGAAAATATAAAGATTTTTCACTTTAAATATTCACTGTTGTTTTGCAAGTTACTACGTGTTTCCAGTGTCGATATAAATAAGGCAACTCTCGTTGGGAGTTCTGTACGAAGTACATTATTATTAGAGATTAAGATCAGCATAATATAATTTTGGTCTTATAACGCATCTGCATTGTACTTTGATCGCGACCTACATTTTTAGTAATACATTAACGGACGATATGTTGCTGTGCCACATAATTATTCTAATTTAATTAGTGTTCAATTAGAAGTCTTGACATAAAATTATCTCGTTCTTTCATTTTTTTTTGCAACACTCATTTGCTCAGCGCTTTTACAACTAACAAGTTCTTAATAAGCATTTGAAAAATAACGCACTCCTACATCTGCGGCAAGAAATGCATTAAGCATTGATTTGTTCCGTTGTAAACTCTAGTTGTATACAAGCAGGCAATGCTTTACTAGTTGTACGTGTAAACTTTGTTCTATATTTGTGTGGACCTGTTACTGCGTGTCTGCCTCCTATTTTTAATATTACTTCTATATAATAGCTGTAGGACTTCCTATGATATAATCAATAAATAAATATAAGATGTGATTATGATACCATTTAATTATATTAATGTGGTCAGATGAAACTGACTCTAAGTCTGAAATTGTTGACAGCTGTGGAAAGTAAAAGAAATACAAAAATTTGGGAATAATTAAATTTTTTGAACGGAATCGCAAAACGCCCTTTCTGCATTGATATCATTTCAATACGACATTGATGATATCGATTATGAAATTGACATATAAAATTGCATTAAATGTAAAATAATAGAGAAGAACTGATCGATTCATCTACAATGCAAAACAAATTAAAGAACGAAAATTTCACGTTGATCTTTATGTAACTATATACTTAGATTTGTTGACTAGTTATAATAGAGAATTATAATTATAAAGTGATAATTAATCACCAAAGATTTTGAAAAACTATGATGATAACTCATCAATATGTCTCATTTTCACTTTCAGACATTGATCAGTCTCTGAGCGGAAACTACACGTGTCTGGCAAAAAACCTCTACGGATCGGACTCCGTAGAGTATCAAGTCATAGTCCTGCCTCTACCAGAATCACCAGTACTCAGAGCCACACCTTATAAAGACTCTATACTAGTTGAATGGGAACAACCATATTACTCTGTTAGTAACAGAAGTGTTTCACAAAAGATCAGTGAGTATCTGTCAGGTTATTTTTTAGACTTTAGTACCTCGAAATAAAAAATGTACCTGCATAGGATTACTCGCGTGTATGTCTGTCTGTTTATCCGACCGTCACAGTTCATTTATGCGAAAACTACAAGATCTATCTGGTTGAAAATTTGATACATATGTGTCTGTCAAGGAATCAAAAACGTGTGTGTAATGTAAATAACAAGTGCTTGAAAAGATTCGTAAGTCTTGTTAGGTCCTGGGTAGCTCAGTGGTTAGAGTAGTCGCCCGCATTGCGAAAGGTCGTGGGTTCGATTCCCATCTCGGGGTGCCAGGGACCAAGTGGATTTTTTAAGCATTTTGTATTAAGAATAATTTTCAGTATGGCATTGTGAATACAAAATTAATCAAAATATAATATTTAGAACAAAATTCTCATCTTTATCGAAAGTTTCGATATTTGTAATAATATTTCTTTCGGCTGTTTGGGTGGATGCCTGAACATTGATGAGAATACGCTCTGTAGTAGCGAAAAGTAAAACTCTATGGTTTCAAATTTTTTATATTTGTCGATATCGGACAACCTAATGGAAATCCATTACACTCAGGACTTGGAGATTTAATAATTATAATGTATATTTAACGCATAAGTCGGTATTCTGTTGAAAACAGGGATTTTTCCGATTCTAATGTCCCAATTATAGCACAAACTTAACATGATAAATTAATATCCAATCCTCATAATATCAAACGTTTCAAGCCTACAGCCTCACATGGAAGGAAGCCAACGGTCCTTGGCGGGAAGCTTGGCCGGCCAATAAGCTGCCAAACTTGTCTGGCGTCCAAAAGTACGTCCTCACTGATCTCAAGTGTGGCACCAAATATTCATTGAGGATCACCGCTACCAACAAAGTTGGCACTTCGCAACCGGCCTATTTGGACGTCAGTACTTTGGGTGGAGGTATTATTATTAAATAAGTAGATAATTACATTATAGATTTCTAAACGGTAGTCTTTTTTCTTCTGAATTCTTCGATTGAAAATCTAATTGTTCCAAGTAAATTTTTGACGATATTAAATTATACACTCATTGAATATAATTCAATTAACTATATAATGCACACAATTATATACTTTATTTGTATGGACTTAAGTAATATTGTTTTGTTTTACGTACGTACCATTGAATGTGTAGCAGTTTGACAGTAAACCTAATACCATGAATTATATAGTAATGATAAAACCTAATCAAGTTAGTATACAAAAAAATGATACTATGCATTTGATTTATATTAAATAAGCTTTAGTTGGTACCGCGTAGACTGATCAAGCAGCCAAAAATCCTATACTTAAAGGGAATTCGTTACATTGCATTGTCATTTAAGATATATATGCATGCAATATTTCTGATCAATAGAAGACCAGGAAGGGTTTGAGCTAACAAGCTGATTAGACTTGACAAATTAACACAGCGTATACTTATATCTATGTTGCGTAAAATGTCACAATTGAAAACGAGACTTGTGTACAATTGGACCGTTCTTCCCCAGTGCCAATACCACCGAGCAGCAACGAATGGTTGTGGAGTAACAGCAGCCACTTGGCGGTGCAGCTGGCGGGCTGGGACGACGGCGGCTGCGCGCTGCGCGCCGTGGAGGTGGACCACCGCCGCCTCGGCGCCAGGCACTGGCTGAGGGCTCCCAACACACAGGTCACTTATCATATTCTCCATTCCTTCCCCTCTTCCTGGTAGCTGAAGTGCTTCCCTAAAAATCCGAACCCGAATTCTAAATCACTCAGGTGTCTGAATTCAATTCGAAAACTTATAACAGTGTAGAAATTCTGTTAATTCCATATTTTGTATAACAATACAAAATAAGACTGATTGATTCATATGTGTCTCAGATATTCTATCCCTGTGTCAGTTACGCCATGAAACGTTAGTACATTTCTACAAAACTATGATGTAGTAAGGCCCCCCCTCCTTAACTTTAATACCTGTTTTTTAAGCTACTTTTTGTTAAATTTAAATATATAAAATACGTATGAAATATTTTTCTATTATCTGACTGACGAATTAGAATTTCCTTTTTTTTTACCCGGTCGTCATCGCTACTCTAAGAAAAGCGGACGATGTGGATTCAGACACCTGCGTGAATTAGAACTTGGGTTCGGATTTATACGGAGTCGTTCTGCTGATCAGTATTTGCAAAGCAGTTTCAAACAAACAAAGTTATTTTTATAATAATTGTATTATTTTTATGATCTTTATGCTTGACTTTGGCAGAGTGTACATTATTGCTCATTTGTTATAATCACTTTTCCAGCAGTTCACCAACTTACCTTCATGGTCAGTGCCCAGTCTTTATCAAGCCAAGTCGCCTTACCACACCGGGTCATTCGTGATCGCGGACCTCAGCCCCGGCACCTGGTACCAAGTCAGGATCGCAGCCACTAACGAAGCTGGCACCGTCACCACCACTTATAGTTACGCTACGAAAAACGAGGACGGAAGTAGGTGAACTGTATTCTTAATAGAATCTTCTTGCATTCAAATAAATCTGATTACTAAAAATAGGAATATCTTTTACCATTTTTTATCTTAAAAGTTAAAACCAATTAAATAATTCCTTTGGCTGTACACAATATGACTGATAGGTACATTTAGTACTTTTCCTCATAAAAAGTATAATTACTATAAGAAATTTTGATTTTTTAATATTTCAGTATTTTACAAATATACTTTTTACCTTACTGACCTCTTAAACTGAAGAATATTAGTGATTTTGATGTGACCTCGTCCTTTAGAGTTATGAGGCAACAGCAAAAATCATAACCTTTCCTTTCACTCCACCGAGTCGAATATAAGAAATTACTCGTTTTCCCAGGTGAAGTTGGACCACCCTCGGAGCTATTCGACCTGAACATGTTGGTGATCGTCTGCAGCTCTATACTTTTAACAGTGTGCTTGCTGAGCTGCATTTACATACTTGTCAAAAGACAAAGGTAATTCACAAAACTTACGATGACGTCTGTTCCCAAAACAACATTGAATGCATCTAATCCTAAAATAATTTCAGAAGTGGAAATCTAACTGAATACCGAGACTCCATAACTGTCGACAACAAATCAGAGAGTGGGAATCTCACAGCAAACACATCTCACACGAACCTGGCTAACGTCAAAGAAAACGCTATGAACGCACAAAATAGGATATACAGTGCACCTATACATCTAAGAAACAACAGCAAACATGGTGAGATGGAAATATATAATATCAGTATTTTAATTTGTGTCTCTATACCTATTCAGGTATAGCAATTATCTTTTGGAAATTCTGTTTAACGTTCTGCTATTTATCAAACTTCAAAATAGTGCTTCAATGTTTATTTATTATCTCCGAGACTAAAAATACGTACTCTTAATACATTATCTTATCTTACGTTACCATAATGTCCCTTTCTCGCAGACTTTTTTTTACTGCTCTCAACAATAGGAGTTCGGCACCATCTTTCCAGCGGGGGAAGGAGGCGGTGAATCCTTCATTGAATACCTCACAGCCAACTGCGAGGTTATGTCAGACTCTTACTGACAAAACACAGCCTTATACAGTTGGCAGCGTTTGCCCCATCGACCGGAGTAACCCCCCCCCCCCCTTCCCGTAAATGGGGAAGATATTCTTTCTCGCTGATCCGATGTATATTTATTAAATAGCTCTAACATATAGATTCATTGGCACATAACGCCATCTAGTAATAGGTAAACGAATCGTACCGCTGCGCTCCGTAATAATATGTTTTTCTCGTATGTGTATTTCTTTTTTATTGATATCACAAGAGCGTTTCTGTATCATATCGCCAAACTAGAAAAGATTCAGGGGCTTTGTGAGATGAGGTCCATGTTCACCTCGCTGTTTTAATTTTAATTTTCTTGCATGTACAATTGTACATAAATTTTTTTTCTTTGCTTCTGTTTATGTTAGTGTACATCTACCATTAAGACAAGTTTAATTTTTATTTCTAGAACTGTACGAGATAAGTCCGTACGCGCAATTCGCTGTTGGATTCCGAACATTCGGTCATGTCGAGAATCAAGACATGCCGAATAGACACATCAAACACGCCAGATATGACACGGGTATGTAACATACCAAATGGTTCTGACTCAGCTACTAACATTAAGTGGCAGCATATTTTTACGATTAAACTACTTAAGCCGCCTTTTAATAATGTAGGGGAAATGCAACTTTAAGCCATAAACCAGGAGTTCGAGCGCCAACTCTACAGCTACGTTCTAACGATAGAATATGGCATTTTAGCGATGTGGTGTGGGCATTTCTATCCATTTGTGTACTTTAACATGTACTCTATTAACGACGAACGACTGATAAAGAACGACGGTTATGGATTTGCCAGTAGCGTTATCGAATTACTAATTTAACCCAATTTAATCCACCAAAAGACATGGCAAAGAAGTAAAATGAAACGAAATACCGCTATAACATCGATAATAGAGATACGATGTTTTCCTTGGAAGTGAAATGCCAAACAAATTACTCATAGTTTCTATAAAAAACATACTGAACCTACCAAATAGGTACTACTAAATTTTTATTTTCAGAAACAAGTTTCCAGGTGTGTTCCGAATCAGAAGACAGTGATAGCGTCTCAAAATCAACGCTTAAAAGCGTCCCAAGAAGTGAGTTACTAAACACTTGACTTACATACCTGAGAGTTAGATAGAAATAAAAGGTTGCGATTGTTTTTAGTCTGACCACTTAATGTCAAAGTATTTAAAAAATTCATCGTCATCAGCCCTTTTAGTGTGGACCCACTTTAGGGGCTCAGGCCTTCTTTATGAATGGTTAAGTAGGACGGGCCAAGACCCTCCACGCTGACCCAATGCGGATTGTAGGGTATTAACGACTACAAATGCAGCCGGGAACAACAGCTTAACGTGCTTTCCGAAGCACAGAGTAGCTCGAGTTAATAATTTTTTGGTCACCTATCCCGTGAACAACTCTTGGGGAAATTGCTTAACAACAACAATCGTGGGCAAATTGCAAGCAAGCCAATTTCCAGGGCAGTGTTAAATAATGTCAATAGGTCAATATTTGAAATTGGACTTTTCTAGGTGGACTCGGTTTTGAATGTTGTAGGCTTTCAGTGTTTCAGATACTCCCTAATATGAGTGCTTTGCTACTGATCTTGACATCAGAGCTAATACATATTAGCTCTGATGTATATACATATATAATGCTGTCTGATATTTATTTTGTCTATACTATACAAATTATAAAGAGGAGATTTAGTTGTTCTCTGTTTGTTTGCATTGAAGACTCGGAAACTACTGGACTATTTTAGAAATTCTTTCATCTACTAGAATCCACATCAAACGCGGATGACATAGGCTATACAATACGTGATCGAAACAACAGGAAAACAGTTTATTTAAATTAAGCTCAATAAAAAACATTCTTTACAGAAGTATGCAGAACACCGCACCATAGGTAACCAGCCGGAGAAATATTATCTTTTTAAATAAACAAAAATGTATTATAATTTGATTGTAAAAAAGTAGGAATTGTCTTCGTTTCAATTCCAAAACGATTTAGTGTGTATAAGTTTAATTTAAAATTGATCAAAATGTAGATAATATTTTGTAAATAAAACTTTTTGCTTTGTATATTTTTCAGGACATTACGTTGCGCCTGAACAATGACTGATTTAAAGTTATGAATTTATTGATCTAAATATGTTATTAATTTTAAATATTAGCCGTTAAGTTAAAACAAGATATTGTACATCAAGGTCTGCAGAAGGTTCTTATTTTATAAGTTATGATATTTTAACATACTAAATAAATGTTTCGTATCTAAATCTACATTCTGATAACATTCTGTAGGTACAACCTTATATTTTTTTTATAATAAGTAACTTCCACAAATTCCAGCATGCACGTAATTTGAGTTTAAAATCATACTCTTTCTTGAAAATCTTACTTTTAAATCCAATGGTTCATTAAAAATATTGTATATAAGTTATATTTATGACAAATTAAATACTAATAAAATATAATTCAGTCGTTAGAATATTATTATTTTTTATGTAAAATATGAAATGTTTTGACGAAACTATTTTGTAAGTTGGTGAAGCGAAAAACTGCTAAAAATATCCACAAAAAGACTGATTATTCATCTTAATGATTGTTGTTTGATTTCTATACAATTTTGATGTAGGAATTAAATAAATGTTAGATAAATATTTTGTGGGTCTTTTATTTTTTCAACATTTCAGTTTTCATTGCAATTTACGTAGATTAAGTTTTAATATAATAATAATGCTAACGAAATTATGTTACAAAATAAAATAACTTATAACTGTACAGTCTCGAGATAACATGATACTTATGATATTATAATAATAAGATGAAAAATATATCTACTAGATCGAAATAAACACTATTGGATAATTAGAAAATTATCAAAAACGAAACTGCCTAGCTCGATACTTCGAAATATTTATTTGAATCATTGGGATTATTTAATTATTCTTTCGGGCCATTTAGAATCCACTATCAAATCGCTAATCCTACGTATTGAAAAACTGTTTTCAAAACATAACAGACAATTCAGAAGCAATTTCAAAAGGGTAAGCCTGCTTTTACAATATCTATAGTTTTAACAGTTGTAAATAGTAAATAAATAAAATTAAAATTGCTTTATTTAATGAATTCCATTCACTCAACCTTTCTCCATTCAACATAAGAATTCGACTTGCGTGAATCCTCAAAGAATAGAATGAATACTTTACCATCTCAGTAAGAGCATAATCAAATCTAAATAGGTCTAGTCTCCATCATCAAGTCATACCCAAAACCTCGTGGATCCATTCTAAATGGTCCACGACACTAGTATAAATACCCGGAGCACCTACCCTACCGCATGTAGTTGGCCCTAAGCTAGTTACTCCATAAAGTTGTATACGGTCTTCTTGATAAGTCAGCGGCCCTCCTGAATCACCACGGCAAGTATCAACTCCTTTCAATCCACCTGCACAAATTGCGTGGCGTGGTATAACGTCCTCTTTGTATATGTCTCTGCAATCATTGTACGACCAAGACGGTAAAGGTATAGACTTCTTGACAGGACTGTAGAGCCCAGTGGATATCATTTCTCCCCAGCCTGTTGCATCGAAAATTGTGAACCTTTTAATTTTGGTCGTTGGCAAGCAGATCGGTCGAATGAAATCTGTAAAAAAAATATATTGCTTTTGTAAGAAACATTGATGATGATTATATTGATGATTTTATAAACGTGGATAACTTAACAATTTTTTAGTACTGAAGTGATAGGCGAGTGACGATAGCACGACTTGAACTTGAATCTATTTGAACAGAAAACCAAAGAATTACATATTAAGTTGAAGAAAAAGTTTTTTCGCATATATATAAACTTTTAATAAAATCTTTCTGGCTATACCAATCGTATCAGGCTGGTTTCGGTATCATTAAAAATTTAAAATTTTTAAAAAGAAAACTCCGAATTCAAATTAGGAAAATGTGTAATTTGCTTTGTATTCCTTGCTGTCAAAATAAGTGAATCTAATGAAGGACAAATGCAACGTAAGCCGCTAAACAAATTTATGACGTTTATGGACCTAGTGCAGTTTCTATGAGACTATCACAAATTTGGTTAAGCATTTTCACTCCGGAAATTTTGAAGAATGTGAAGGAAGCACGTCGCTCCTGACACCGCTAAAATGGATGCCATTTGCTGAAGAACTATGGTTTGACCACAAAACAGTTTGGGCGCATTTAAAAAAAACATAAAATGCGAAGAAACTTTTCACCCAACTTATATTGAATTTCGTGATAATAAATATCGTATGTAAAATTTATTAGGGTTTTGACTAAAAGTGTAGATAAATTTTTATGCCCGTTATTTTATATAAAAATAACGGGCATAAGAAATCATGAAGAAAGGCATAACAAATCCCGGCGATATAGATTTCGGGTATAATAATACAAACTTCCAGCTTTGCTGTTATGTAACAATACAGCGTAGAATGCAGGCAAATAAAACCTTGTTCCCCTATGCAGTAGGTTTTATTCGATTGAATTTAAAAATCTTAAACGTCACATATCAAAATAACGTGCACTCACCAGAACAAGGCACCTCGTTCTTCAGCTGGATGATAGCGATGTCGTGCTCTCTCCCGTCATAGTCAGGATGAACGGTGATTCTGCCTACGCTCGCCCGCAATATGGGGTCGGCGCAAACTCCATCAATGCAATCCACTTTAGTTAGAACATTGTACTCGCCTAGACGTATCAGCATTCTGAAAATAAAGAAAAATATGCAGGTTATTATCTAGACAGCTATACTAATATTATAAAGAATAAAGATTTGATTGTTTTTATGTTTGTTTGCTTCGAATGGGCTCCGCAACTGACTAATTTTATTAATTCTCTCACTTACGTGTAGCTACATTATACTTACATAGGTTGACATGGGGTATAATTTACACGTGCGAAACCGTGGAAAATCAGCTAGTTTGATTATAACATAAAAAAAGAAGAAAACAACTACCAAAGGAGATGGCCTAAAACAGCCCCAGGTTTCTTATTTGAACATGAAAAATTATAATAACAAGGAACTTAATAAGATCAAAATAACAAAAATCATAGATATAATTTGCATTTTAAACGCAAAATATAGAAAAGTCTATCTAGTGGGGTTCTAGAATACATATACGTAGCCTGCGATCATTGTTATTAAGCAACTTTCGGTGAGCAAAAATCCCTTGCTACCCCGTTTTTCGGAAGGCACGTTTATTCGTTCATCCCGGCTGCATTTGCAGTCGTTAATACCCTCCAATCCGCATTGGGCCAGTGTGGAGGGTCATGGCCCGTTCTCCTTAACCATCCATAAGGAAGGCCTAAGAATAGTTTAATGTTTAAAAATTATCTAAAAATTCTCTAACTTAACCACGCCATCAGTAAATGAAATTGTTCAATAAAATATTTGGAAGCGAAGTGCTGATTGTGAGGCATAGACTTTACTCGTGAAACAAACTAACTATGGAACGTGGATCGACTCTTTACGAGTGAGTCTTTTTAAAAGCGTGATTCAACTTTTTAAATGAACGTCATTAAATGATGACGTATTCATATGAAATAAGTAATCGACCTACAGATCCTTTTTACCTTATATGATTAAGTTACCTACGTATAAAGTCCAGGTAATTTTTATTAAAGCTATAAAGTCGATAATCTATTACCATTTAAACACTAAGAACTTTATTTGAGTCGCAAAGTTTGTATCGAAATTATGAAAGAAATGGTTGGCGTATCCAATGATGCTACACCACCAATTATTCTTTTAACTATCAAAGTCTTAAATATATTTGGTTATGGACACAACATACAATACATGAATTACCTAACTGCTGACATACATCGCCAGAACAGAATATTAAAAAGATAGCAAAAAGTATTATGTACAATATTAACAATAGTTCGTTGAAGATAGACATCCGATATCGTAGGGAAAGAAGGATTTCATCGGACGCAGTATACAAGTATTAACGTTGCAATAGCCATACGAAAAAAGTTGTATTTCTTGAGGTGACACAACAATTTCCACTGCATATATGACCAATTCTAGCAAGCTCAGTATCATTTCAGATAACCTTTTACAATAAACAAGTTATGTATCTATTATACTTAATGATCTGCATTAAGACATACCCCAGAACCATTTGAACCGAACCGAAAGAATTGTACTTCTGATTGTCCTTACCTGTGATGTTTCACCTTTCTGATGCAATGAGCGGCTGTGATCACGTGGCGACGGTCTACTAAAGTGCCACCACACCTAAATTCTGTGAGCTGACCGCGCCTGTAGAATTCCAAGAGGACCAGCCATGGGCTGTAGTGGATGGGGTTCCGGCTCGCTTCTATCCCACATTGACATGCTGGAAATAAAGACTTAATTAGTACCGCACACCAGTCGAGGAGATAATCCGAATATATTATAGTATTATTATTATTAATTGAAATTCTTGTTGAAATGTCTAAAATTGTTCCTAATAGGGCTTTTTAACATTTCAAATAGATCCTTTAAGTTTGTAATCTGGTTGGAGATTTCAAATAGCATATTTCAATTTATTTTACTATAAAAATTATCCAGGAAAGATTTCAGAATTCCTTTTTTGGTTACTTTCTTAAATTTTTGCAGCTGTAAGTTGGTTCAGTTACTTAAAAAAAGAGTTTTAAATTGGATTGTAACCTGTTTAGAAGTCGTTCTTTAATTCAAATCAAGCCTTAAAACCTTATGATGTATGATCATTTGATTACTTACATTGCATGTCATTAAAATATTAATAAATCAATTTTGGGGCATAGCATTTTGATACGGATGGCTTGCTCAGTTTAACAATTACAGGTGCAGGTAGTACGAACCGGCATAGATTCCAATGAAGCAGGAATTCGAAATGTTTGGTCACCGATTCCATGACTGAGCTTTTGAAAATGTTGCTTAACCTTCACTATCCCAAACCGGACGCATTATTGCGAAAAATTTTATATTTTACGTCACACAACGTCTGATGACTGCAGTAACATATAAGCAAACATATAAGAAATTATTGAGCTCCTAAGAGCTAATCAAAAGCTAAAGGATTAATCCCTTTCTATAGACGACTGACTATTCTCAAGTCATTTCATGTCGTCTCTAAATTATTAAACAAGTAGCTACTGCCTAAAACACTTAGTAGTGTTTCATAATATTAAATTTTTTGTATGTTTCCGTTAACATCGCCGAATTTGTCGTGGTTCAAAGCGCTGGCGCGTCATAGAGCTATAATGAAATAAAAACTTTATGACCTTCTGAAGTGGGTTTATTTCACCAAACCTCTGCGACGTGACAGCAAAAGCTGTTTTTGTAACAGGAGTATACGATTGATCACAACAAACTGTCAAATTGCTCCACTCGCAGAGTTTAAAACAAATTGAGGAAAGACATATTGCGATATTGTGTATCTCGTTCATATAATATTGAAAAAGATATACTTTATTACACATGTCATAAGGTAATTGTAATTAAACCCACTGACACATATTACTAAGCCAGTTATTATTTACAATGTCAATGACCTTTATACTACTCATAATTAACGTAATACTAGGGATGTCCCTGAGTGAAAGTTGAATTGGATTTCAAAATATTGAGTCATGGTGCTACTGGGGAAGTTCTTATGATCGCTCATAAAGTAGACGAGAATAGGATAGATACAAAATTACGAGCACCGTTAGCACGATAGACAGAGACAAAAGATGACGTATAATGCTGAATAAAATGCTAAAAATAGATTTAATTAGTCACCAAAAAACTATTACGAATATTGTGTTTGCAATGGAATCACTTAAAGTTTTATTATTTTTCCTACTTATATCTGTTATGAAATTCACTTTCAATACTATATGTATATATTATATCTCTGTAAGTTTAGTGTTACGTGCACAAAGGGTAAAAAAGGGACTCTATTAACTAATGGCCGGTTTCTAAATTGAGAAAGTACAAAATTTCAACTGATTATTCTCAATAATTTAGGTTTTTTTTTACAAATCACAAGGCAAAAAGTCCTAGTTTTATCAAAATGCTATCAACTGATCATTGAAAAAACAAAATCGGTAACGAAAACCTGATTAAATGACGTTTAAGTACAGTTTAAGACGTGATTAACTTTACATTCTCAATTCAGAAACCTCGGCGTAGGACTCCGCTATCCGTGAATCTGTATCTCATAAACCGTGAGATCTAGATAGTTGACAGACTTCTATTGCCGCTATGACCTAACAATAAATACTAAAAATAGAATAAAATAAAGATTTTAAGGGCGCTCCCACACTACATATTTTGGGTATTATAGAAAAAAGTACGGAACCGAGACCGTTTACGTTGTTTGCGAGTCCGGCTCGCACTTGACCGGTTTTAATACTGTTTCAGAGTAATGAGAAGGGAAGTATAGAGGAGGTCGATGGCTCTGTGGTTAGCGCATTCGGTCTGCTAGGAAGTTAAGCAACTTTCGCGAGGGTTGGTCATAGGATAGGTTACCCTTTTTCTATTAAGTATGTCATGGATTGAAAGCTTTAGGTACCATAAAATGAAATCCCCATTTCTTTTTAAATATAATGATGGAAATAAAACATACCATTTTATTTATAAAATGACTACCGGATTGTAGAGTGATTAACGACACTTAGCACAAATTCACTCAAACATAATCGATACATGATTAATAAAAGGCGCAAACTGAATACACCATCAGCCCTTTTTACGTCCCCACTGCAGGGGCTCATGTCCTTCTTATGGATGGTTAAGGAAGATGGGCCATAATCCTCCACGCTGGTCCAATGCGAATTGAAGGGTTTCAACGACTACAAATGCAGCCGGTACCAACGGCTTAACATGCCTTCCGAAGCTCGAGTTAGTATTTTTTGGTCACCCATCCCATGGCCGACCATTGCGAAAGTTGCTTAGCAACGAAGATTGCGAGTTTTAAGTGTATTCAAGTATAAAAAATAATAAAACAGACTTACCATTATTAAGTTCATCGGCAATCAAAGCGATGATAAGATAAGCCAGTACCACATAACACACAATCAACAAACCCATATTATTTAAAACCTTATAAACACAAAAACTTTTCAGAAAAATCAAACTTGATTGATAAACTTCACTCTTATCAAATTGTGACAAAGTCCCGTGGCACGTGCGATCCAATTGATGGCAGATAACTAAATGAGCAATATTCAAAAGCGCCGCTAATACCAATAAGTATCTACATGTCGCGTGCCGTAAGGAACGAGTCACAGTTTTTCCCGTGTTTTAAAACCGCTAACGCCTTCTTAGTAGTAAAATGAATACACAGAGGACTTTTTAGTTGACTTGTTAGTAAGGCTTGGGAACGGTTCGAGAAACCGCAAAAAAATTATACAATAATTAATGATTGTTTTTCATTAACACAAAAGAAGCATAAGAATGGCAAGATACACATATAAGACGTAGTAAAGCGATCAATGGGAGAAATAACCGGAATCTGTTAGTGAAAAGCTGAATAATCAAAATCGAAATCATGCTAAAAGATTTCCAAACCCTGCTTATTACAAAATTGGTTAATTAATTGGATTCCATAATCTGTCTTTTCTTTTCTTCTACTTACATAGGCATTACATTACACAACATGACACAAAAATCTAAGATAAGACAAACATATATTTTTTATTTATGCCCAAATAAAAATGGTTTTTATTAATATCGTTGTAGTTATATTAATTTATATGAATGACTAATCCTCTCGTCGATGCCCATAATGATCAAATTCGTGTGTTTTGTAAAAAAATCCCTTCAGAGCGGTTAGCCGTAAACTTTATGTACTTAGATGATTCATAATTTAATTTTTTTTTCTTGAAAACTTAATTCCAGAGAACAATCTAAAAAACATCAACAACAGTTTATTTTTTTATAATATTTATACCTAACCAGTCGATGATCTTCTCATCTTATTCATAAAAACAATGAAACTTTTCAACGCTTTGGTTTTAGCAGTGAGTTAGGCTGCCGCACTCCAATAATTAAGCTGCCCATCGGTATTAATTCATCTATACGAATAATATAAAGAGATAGTTTCTTACTTGGTTTGTTTGCAGGTACTTAATAATTAGAAATACTGAACCGACCATGAAAATCCCTTCACCTACGAGCTACATTACGCGAGTAATACAGACTATAATTTACACAGTTAAACTTAAATAAATAGGTCCAATATTGAAATTTCAATATATAAAATTTAGTAGTTACATAACTTTTCCAGAATATTGTAAAGTTTTGTAAAGGACCCTCTACAACAAACGTGGTTTTTTGTGTCGTGTAATAGAAAAAAAAATATATAAATCGAAATTATGACCGAGACAAAATCGTTAGAAACATTGTGTTATATGGATATTAGATATTTCTAGTACAAAACTAATTTTGTGCTATGTCCCTATGCCCATGAGGCAGTGTTATAGCTGCGTACACAAAATTATATATTTTTCGCTATGTCACTCAGCCTTAGAAACCGTAACTAAATTTAGCTTTAATCTCTACATTCATATAAAGATACCGTAAAATAATTAGAACAAGGTTACACTTTCTTGAGCAACCTCAGAATTATCCGAAACAGTTGATTCAACTTTAAAAGTCCATGACTTATACAGCTTGCATACATAATGTCCGGAATACCGGAGGCTCGATGACTAGCGCTCGTGACGTGCATCTCAATATGTTACATTAGACTGATGCAAGTAGGTGGGTATTCCGTGTCTACCGATATCATGACGTAGACAGTTTACATTACAAAATCTTAAGTAGTTAGTACGATACCGGTTTGTTTCCCTATCTCGTAAGTATATAAAATTATTTACCTTAATAAAAGACATATATGTCATTATAATAAATTAACTTTATTTGTGGTTGGTACACTCGCTGTATTTATATCGACAGCAAAATAACAAAAACTTATATTAATACTAGCTTTTGCCCGCGACTTCGTTCGCGTAGTTACTTTAAGCAGCATTTCTAACGAATATATTTCATTATATCTTGTGAAATATCGGAAATAAAGTTTCATTTAACAAAATCCTTTCTTAGGGGATGCCTACGTTATAGTAGCTGTATGCATGCAAAGTTTCAACCCGGTCGGTTTAAAATTGACAAAGTTTCATACAAACATTCATCCCCTATTTTATCCCCTTGGGAATAGAATTGATAAAAATCCTTTCTTAGTGGATGCCTACGTCATAACATCTACCTGCATTCCAAATTTCAGCCCTATCCGTCCAGTAGTTTGTGCTGTGTGTTGATAGATCACTATGTTAGATGAGGGCCAATGGAATATTGACCTAATTATCTAATTTCAAAATTTAGCACAATAGCTTTCGCTATCACATGTCAAATAATCACGCTCATGAATATTATTCAAATGTTAAATAAAAAGGGATTGCGATCGTTTTAAAATTAGTCAAATAGGCCACTGTTACAAGATTCAAAATGTCAAAAAACATCGAAAAATCAATACTTCTGTAGAGGGAACGATTAATATAGGAAATCTTAAATTGCATAAGTAGTGAAACCTCCTCGAGCTTCAATGAATAAAAGTCTATATTGTCTTTTGAAGTAAGTTTTACCTATTTGGTTGAACCTTTATGACAGCGCCGCGTTCCATATCAAATCAAAATCATTTATTATATATATAATATGGGATTATTATTTATTGTTGTACGGGGCTATGCAGTTCCCTGAGGAACTGTAGTCACTGCGACCTTTAAGATCTATTGTGGCTCGCCGCCAGAGCTATAGCAACTCCTTTAGCCCGAAATATTTCAAAAAGTCTATAATATAGAGATTTTTAGGCTTTTAGAGATTTTATGTCGACCCAGATGTATGCTTTGTTTGTGGATCAGTGGTCCACATTCACACAGGAAATATTTTGGTGTTTCACGTTCCTGTTTCCAATATTTGCAAATGTCGGTGTCCCTTAGTTTCATGTGAAATAGATGACTGTTTAATTTGCGTTGTCCAGATAGAGTTCGTACAATTGTACTTATATATTTGCTCTGTTTAGCTTCAAGAGCTCTTCAGTTAGTTTTTGTGAATGACCTTATATGGGATATAATATGGGACAAGTTCTACGACTTTTTTTTGAGAGTGTCGTTTACTTCGAATACTTTGATTATGTCTAAATAATAATTACTATTACTTCTAAAAAATTTTCAACTCACTGTCTTACTGTGTTTTCAGTATTTGAGAACTTTAAAAGTACAATTCAATGGCGTTGAACTGAATAAAATGGCGTTCTTAACTAGTTGTGCTCCAAAATTTTGAATTTTAATAGTCTAATGATTCGAAGTTTCGATCTTTAATGACAATAAGCAAAAAGACACAGCCCAGCTAGCGTCTGACATGATGTAACATTATGATATGATTTAGTTGAATGTTTAAAGCTATTGGAGGTTGCATACTGGCTGCTTTAAATTATAATCTGCCACATTGACGGCTTTTTGTATTACTGTCAAAAAAATCACCAATGTAAACGTTTGTATTGAAATCTTATGAATATATTATTAAAATAAAAAAAGACGCGTTACAGCACAAAAGAATGCTGCTCTCCACTCGCATGAATAGAATACAAAAATTCTTTACACTTATTTGAAATTAAATTAATTGTATATGACAGAAGACACAGTCGATTGACTGCTAGAGAGCGCACTCGGAAATATCATCAATCGTTGGAGTGACGTAACAAGGTGCTAGGGAAATAACACAAATATTATTCATAAGTCATTGCCACTTAACTGCTACCTACTAAAAAGACAATACAAATAAAGGAAAAATAGTAAAAGAAAAGAGAAAGTAAAAGAAATCACGTTTTAATAAGTATAAATCACAGACTCCATTTACAGCCATTTGCCCAAACGTCCATTAAAATTGTCATTAGTTTAAAGTGACATTACCGATACAAATTTGATGTTCATTAGAGCATAAAGGCGTTAATGGACGTTTGTGCAAATGCCCAATAGTACTTTAGGTACCATAACAATGAACAAAAAGTAATATATAGGTAAGATTTGAACGTGAAAGTGTGTCTCATTTCATAACATGAGTCTCTCCAGAGACTTTAAATGTCAGAAATTATTGCACTTTTTTTCATTTAATTCATTCACTACACTTTTGATCCAATCTATATGACTAATAACGTTAGTATAGATGCCAGGAGTGCCTTCCGTGCCGCAGTTCGCATTACCAGCACTGGTTACACCCCAAAGTTCAAAACGGTGTGTCCCCCAGACTAAAGGACCGCCGGAATCTCCCCTACAAGTATCAATGCCCTGCTCTCCACCCGCACAGATCACGTGAACAGGAGCTTCTGCGAATCTGTATGCTTCTTGACACTGACTTTGTGACCAATATGGGAGTCTTAAATTTTTCTTGACGTCACTATACATTCTCGTGTCGATGGTTTCGCCAAAGCCAGAGGCGGAAAAGACCATTTTCTCCCGTAGATTCCCCGACGGCAGGCATATCGGACGGATGGTTTCTATAAGATAAATAGGAAACGTTTACCTTTGATATAACTACCTTAAATAGAACTTAATTGACTTTTAAGAAAACTAAACTCTACTTGTAATAAACAGTACCTTTGTTTTTAGTGTGTCTATCTGTTCTTATTATATTTTGTACAGGCGAACGACTTAAACCAAGAATGGAATCCGAAAATATATTTTTTAGATCAGTCTACCTGATGCCAAAAATTTGTGGATAATTCAATCCTCTTAGATAATATAAAATGATATTCTTTCCTTCTCACTAGTTAACGAAAAAAAATATTATTATTGGAAACAAAATTATAAACCCACCTGTATATGGCGCGTCGTGTGAAAGAGTGAGTATGGCAATATCGTGATCCTTATTATTGTAGTCTGGATGTACGCTAACCTTCACTACTTCCAATTTGACCGGTAAGTGAGCACATACGCCGTCCACACAATCCACTTCCTTGGAGATATCGTACTCGCCCAGACGGACGAATAACCTGTAAATTTAAAAAAGTTTGTTATCCCATTTATTTTAGACAATTCTTTAAATAAAAGAATTGCAGATAAACTTTATGATTTTATTAATTAAATCTACTTATATGTTGTATTAGTTTCGATGATAACCAACATAAAAGCAAGTTGCTAACAGTCTGTATTGTAGCGCAGGGTATCCTAGACGAGCCGATGTCGAATTATCAGATATTGATCGAAAAGCCATTTTAGCAATGTTTCAGTAAAGATGACATAATTGAGTACTTAACTACAAGTGATTTGAGTGATACTGTGGATTAAACAAATTTTGGTAACACACGTCAGCGTCGGGACCTTTATAGCCCAAAAGATGTAACCGCCTGTCTATTACCCTAACTATAGCTGTAAAAACGTTTTATTGATTTTATAAATATATATTAACAATTATTATTAATATTAACAACCAAGGTTAAAGACCAAGCTAAATGTCAGGCTGAAAAATCAACTGTCAGCAGATTAATCATAGGATTGGAGATACCAGTCATGCTAATGGTCGGATGAAAGTTGATCTGCCAACCTGCATGACAGATCATTCAATGCTTTATTTCGACAGACAGATCAATTACTTTCAGTTACACAGTAGAGCCTGTTTTATTTGTAAAGTTACTGTTGTGTTACGTAGACAAGTTGCGTTGGGTTTAACGTGGGCGCCCTACAATCAACGCAACGTACGCTTTAACTTAATACTTTCTTGTTGTTATTAGATTAATAATCAGATTAAGCGATATATATCCTTTTTGAATTAATATTATAGTAGGAACGGTTAGTTTCAAATATAAAAGTATCATTAATTTCAATGAACAAAATAAGGACTTAATTAAGTTTACTGGTAAAATCGGCAGGGCTTATTTGGCTATTTTAATATTATGACCAGGTTTTGACCACTTTAAAAGTTACGAGAAAGTAATCTTTGTCACATCATAGCAGTCAACGGTGTTAGTTTTGACATGACCACTTGAAGTACCAAAAAGGGGTCAGTAGCCCAAACCGGGCCTTCCCTACTTACAATCATAGGAAAGAGTTATAAATAAAAATAATTTACCTGGCATTCTTTGAAATAGCTTTTCTGACGCAGTGAGCGGCTGTGACCACGTGCCGCTTGCTGATCAGGGAGCCTCCACACCTCTTGTTGTATTTCATGCCTCTTCTATAAAACTCCAGTAGTACCAGCCACGGATGCTGATGTATCGGATTGGGGGATTTGACAATGCCGCATTGGTATTCTGACATATAAGGAAAAACATTAAATTGGAAAACGTCAAGCCATCCATTTTGGACCACGTCCCATACAGGACTCCGTAATTGTCCCTTTTCTATTTTATACGATTTTGAATTGAATTTGATAACATTTTACTACCCGAACTACGATTTGAAAAATTCAAATCAAAACGATAGCAACTTTCGAGCCTGATAATTCCAAAAATGTATCCTTGAATCGAAAAATGGTATCTCCACATACGCACCATTATAAACGGCCTCTGCAAAGGCCTTATTCAACGGGGTATTAACTGTTAAGGGTTGACGAAATGTAAATAATTCTACAATGTGAAGCACAAATAGCAAAGATGATATATGTACTTATTCGCTTTAAGTTTGAATGAGTATGGTTATATCAATTTATAAATTTGCTACACAACAGCGTCGGGGCTTCACGTAGCCTGTGGGACGCGTATTATATCATACACCTGGGTCCCTAATAATAAAATAAAATTAAAAAAATCTTACCTATCTCCCGACGATCCATATGAGGTTTGGCAACTGCCATTTCACAAACGCACAGACACACAATAAAAAGCTTCATAATGAAACAGATTATGTTAACCACTTGAACAGGGTTTTTAATCTCCAGTTTTAAATGCGACTCTTAAGTAGTCTAACCTCCTTTTTTTATAGAGTTTTAAAAGGTATTTATCCTGATTCTTTTAAAGACTTTGAGGATTGAGTGAGGGGACAACTTACAAGGCAGAGCCTAATTTAGTTGCGCCCGTATCACCCAGCGGGCGAATTAAGAGTGGCAATGAATTAAATGAACCATGGTATATATATACATATGAATTAAGTTTTCCCGTTTGCGGTGATGCGTTTTGTAATACAAGAATATTACTCTACATACTAATTACGCATACTATAGTAGAAACATTTACTATGGTACTAAACAGTCTGTTTGAATAATCCCTGAAACGTTACTTTACTCGAGGCATTTCAGGCAAATGTAACATTTCTGGGATGCGATCACCTAAGTTTCTAGCCATTAGACACTTTTTTTTTCGATGGCCAAAATTTGGAACAAATGACTAATATTCTTAATGAAATATGCTTGAAAAATCCACTTGATCCCTGGCACCCTGAGATGGGGATAGAACCCATGACCTTTCGAATATTTTTAACCGACTGCGCGACGCAAAGGAGGGTAATGTGTTTATCAGTCTATGTATGTATGTATGTTTGTTTCTAGGATAATCGGCGTTCTAGAGACCAAATGCGTAGGCCGATTTTGATGATTCTTACGTCAATCGATCCGTCTTAACCTTGCGAGTATAACAAAGACATGTCAGTAATCGAAATTCACCACACCGACAACCAGACGCCATATTGTCAAAATGAAAAAAAAAATCGATAAACTATGTCAAGTGGGGTGTCGTTGAATAGGTATTTTAAACTCATCTTTAGGTTCCTTTTATCATTTTTATTTTAAATATTAGTTTAGGATATATAACGATTTAAAGTTGTTTAACAAAATATTCTCGCTAATTTTCTTACATATTGATTTAAGTTTTTATTTAAAATATAAACGATATACAAACAAAAAAAGATTGTAAAAAAGCATGAAGAACACATATTTTTGGTAAAAAAATAAAGCATATGTAGCTTTGAGTCGAGATAAGTCTCTAGAGGGACTAATCATCAGTAGTTCAGACCACCGCAAATTACTTCATAATCCCCCCATATTAACTCCCTCAATGAAATGGCTAGATTGCGAAATTTACCATCTTATAACGAAGTCAACGAATCGTAACTAAAAAGTATAAAATTAAAATAAATAATTTAGAGAAAAACAAAAAACCCGACTGCGTAAAACGAATTTTAAAATATACATGAATTAACTAAAATAAAAGTTACTTTTTCATGTATTTTTAAAATTCGTTTTACGCAGTCGGATTTTTCGTTTTTTTTTTAATTTTTTTTTTTTCAGTATAGCCTCGTGAATGCGTAATTTATCAAATATAATATGACTAACACTGCTGTCAATTCATAATCATCATTGTTTAGAATTATTTTATCATTAAGTACATGTTAAAGAAGTAAAATGAAACGAAATATTGCTATGATATCCAAGATGTCGTTTGCTATATCACGCGTACATGACCATGACCGTGTTTCGGAGGGCACGTTAAGCCGTTGGTTCCGGATTCATTTGGAGTCGTTAATACCCTCCAAATCGCTTAGCGCCCATCCTCGTTCACCACCCATAAGGCCTGGCTTGAGCCCCTGCATTGGAGACATAAAAGAGCTGATTATGATGACAGGTTGAGCAATGTAATCTAAGCTTATGATTCAGCTGTGTGATTCTATAAATACATTTCGATCCTCGGAAAGCTGAATCCGCAGCGAGTTTATAATTTCGTATTCTTAGAACTCAAAAACACTTCAATATCGAATGCGAAATTATGGGGAATGCGCATGGGGATTTTGACGAATTTATGAACAACGACTTAGCAACAGGACCGATACTATGTAACCTAAATAACTACGTGACAGGAAAAGGATCACTACACGTGTGAGTTACGTCACATATCACAGTTTCCTTAAAAGGCCAAAAAATTATTCAATATCCATCTAAGTAGATAGTCATATGTATTTTTACCTATTCCGATCAGGTCATTGTAGAAAATTATCCTGTCTACATTGTCTTGGATCTGGGTGTTGTGTCTCCATTGTTGTTTCAGATTTCCATAACACCTACTTTAGCTACTTAATTAACTACTTAATCAATATATTGATGCTATCTAATTTTTAGTTCAGTAGTACAACGTTTCCAATAATAATGATAAGTATAATTATATATTCAGTCTTATGTCAATAACCATAAGGTATAAAATACACAGCACTGGGTAATTTTTATTGTCACTCACACACGACCGGGGTCAAATAGACACGTGGAGTCTGTCTAATAATCATTCGAAAATTTACTCTTCTGTACAAAAACATCGGTGATCAATATTGTGTTTTACTATACTATTTTATTATCAGTTACTAAGAGTAAGCGGTACGAGCAGACAATGATAGAGCTCATATGAAAAGAAAACAAATATTTCTGACATAATAATCATTTATTTCTCACCAATTTATCAATTACATACGCAATCTCTCTTATTTAACACAACAATCATTATCGGAAGGATCTATTACACAAACAGTTACATCGGCAACAATTATTTCAACCATAATTTTTCATCAAATTAAAATAATCAAATATCGAATGCACAGACGTAAAATATTCCGACCACAGACTAAACACTAAAAAGTATTTATTGAATGACTCTTCAGACCTAAATACAATCATAATATTTAGGTCTGAAGAGTCATTCAATATTTTAATAATATTTTTTACAATCATAGTTCATTCGTTCTTCTAGATATAGATTACGGTTAGAAACAAATATTACCGTTGTAACTAAAGCAAGGTTATATTTAGCGACAACAAGGGACATTGGACGTTCATCGTATATATGCATTTTTTTTAATAATCAGATATGTCAAGAACATCTACCCTACACGGCTATCCATTAATTATAAACACACTTAATTCTATATTATCAGTTAGACTATCAGTACTGCTCGTTTTTAAAAAAAAAGAAAATACGAAAATAAATCGTCATATTATATAAATTACAACATAGAGCTATATAATAAAACACACTTACCGGTAAGTTTTAAATAAAATTATATATTTAATACACGCACAACGTAACGAAAGTAAACAGATTTATAATTTTACAAAACGAGCTTCTCTACACATTAAAATCTCGATAAAAAATATTAAACTAAATATTAGCCTCAGATTCTTCGTTTTTTAACTACCTACTAGATGCCACCAATATTTTTTTATAAAAACAAAAACTAAAAGAAGGACGTATTATATGAAAATTTTATAAAAAAGTATGTTATTAAAATATAGACTATACGGAATTGTTTCGTTACAAACATTTACTGAGAATGTTTACAGCATAAACATATTTCTAGCAAACATTGTGATTTATATAGAACGTGTCTACATTCGGCTTTCGACATGCATCTGAACAATGTTTCTTATTCACTATTTGACATTCACATTTTTACATATCCTAAACATAAAGGCTCACTAGGTTGTTTCAGAGTAGGTTAGGATTCTGTTAACATTAATGTTATTATTATAGCATTTCAACGGCTATTCGGTAACTTGTATTTTATACCACTCTTGTTATAACACCACATAATAAAACAGTATCAAAATCCATTTATTTCAAACACCATTGTTGTGCCAATATTGCATTAATATTAGTAGAATCGATACCCAGTAGATATGTGTTTTTGATATAAAGTGTCTGACAGACAGTCGGAAATGTAAATTCTTATTGTTTTTCGGACTTCAAGTAATTATGTGAAAACTATTACATTTTAAAAGTTTTAATACTTGTATTATGAATATAACTACAATTCGATTAGAAAGGTACAAAAACTTACAGCGTGACACCAATTTGAACATTTACCAATATCTGAATAGACGTCAGTTAGTCTATTCAGATGTTAATAAATTGTTAAAATATTAAATCTAATAATTTAAGATGATTCGCACGAATGCTTAACTCTATCTTCTTTAAAATTTGATCTTTATAACTTATTATTATAAGGTCCATTTACATATATAATATGTATCGAATAAGACAGAAAAAGTCAAGACGGTCAATATACAATATTACATCATTACTCCCTATTTAAGAGGATGTTAGCAAGAATATTATGTGTATTGGATAGGTATCTTAAACATCAAAATCTACTAATCTATTGTCTGAAATATTAAGCGATCAAATTTTCAGTAGCACGAGCGCAAGGTAATTTTTTTTTTAAAACAATGCCCATCGAACTAGCTGACTGCCACACAGAGACGTCCTTTTAATTTTAAAAGTTGCTTAAATAAATCTTATTGTACTAAATACCGTACAAATAAACAGTTTTTGAATGCACAAAAATTTAATCGACATTATATCATTTATCGACGTCTACGAATATGGCAGTTATACATTTAACACGATAATCGGACGTTATATATAGTTTTTTTTTTTTTCGTTTTATTGATTACTCAGAAATATTGCCCTAAACTCGAAAACAAATATTGTCTAATGTTTGATTTGAAGACCGATTTGATTCCCCGATAGAAATGCTAATGTATTTTCATGTAGAGTCACATCTAGAAATATCTTATTATCATCATCGAAGGTACACATTTTATACATAATCTGCTGTAGAAGATCAACGTTATAACGTCCCTTATGATATAATATTTACTTCACACGAGATTAGAAGTTTATCCGCTCAATTCCCTTTCCTTTTTTTTTATTAAAGGTGTTCATGTAATTTAAAAAACAAAACAAGCACACTATAGAGAATATTGTCAAAATCACGAACTCAAAGTTTAAAGCAAAACACATAATACCTATCTAATATTTTTCTGCTATCAGACTGACGGACTAAACAGGATTTCTTTTTTACCCAGTAATCCCTATCATACCACATTATCAAAAAGACAAAGTTAAATGTTACATGTAAAGCAAAAAGTAAGAAAGAGTTACTGAGAAACTTTAAACTTGCACATCAAAACTATTGTTATTTATAAATGTAAACATAAAGATCGGGAATACAATGACGTATGTGGATTTATATGAATGAGAAAATTTAATGTTTTTGTCCTGCATGGAAAACAAACAACATAAATACTATTCATAATAAAATCATAATATTTGATAATAACATTATAAATACTCTGTTTGCGTCCATTGTTTAATAGTTCGGTTATTTTTAATATTTTCTTTAACAAAACTAACTAGATTTTCTACAGCGATGTCATATTGTTTCAAATAAAAAACATTAGAAATAACCCACAGAATATAGTTTGTTAAGTTTTTTATTGCCCGGTTATTAATTTGACAATGTTTTTATTTTATTTCTCAGAACACTTTTAACATACAAAATACAATTAACCGGGTCAAGAAAACATGTTACATTGTTACCATAGAATAAAAAAACATGAAGTATTTTACAAATTTTATTTATAAAATTCTTTAAAAAATTGCTTGCATGAATGCCAAATCCAAATCTGCTTAATTATAATCAAATCAATTACTCTTACTAGCGGAGTACAAAAATATTTTGAAATAAAAGGGCTAAGATATTATAACGAATAAAAAATTCGGCATCAATTTTAGATAATATTTCAATGGGTTAATATAAATCACACAGAATCACCCTTTTGCTAGTTTACGTAGTCACTTCTAAAAATTAAATACACTTTTGATAATGAATCATTATTGCAAGAGCAATAAGGTCTACAAACGTCGAATAGGTGTAGCTCTAAAATATAGATGCAACTGTCAATTTTGAAACACTATAATTTAACGAATCACAAACTCGCATAAATGGTATCGAAAGTGCGATATGTCATGTTTCTAAGCGACAACCGACTCTTATATACGCCTAAGATAGAATTTCAATACCAGAGACAATCTTCCCTCTTACATAATGATATACTTGACTTTATGTATGAATACCGAGACGACCATTACAAGCCAGCTTTTTTATATAGCCCTACTGTTACAACAGTGATTATTACAACTATATAAAAATTAATGTACTATGACAATAACGTACTTTATTCGTCCGGTGTGTGCCGACATGTGACGTCATTGCACCGTCTAGCGTATCTTGGGCGCGGAGCGATCGTTGCAATGTTTGTTGCGTCGTAAAGTAGCGCCGCGTTTGATCTGTTCCATCAAGGAGGTATGACAGACACGTGGATCAGGCTGCAATTGAAAAATTAATTAATTAATATAGTTTATATCAGTTCGGTTCATTGGACTGAGTTTTTTTCACATGAACATCACAGTTTTACTTCGTTTAATATCGGTAAAAGTGGCATATTATTAATATACTCAACCGTGGACCTGATTTATTCTAGTTTTTATTATATAACTTTAGTTTTCGTTTTATTAATTTTTATATAGGCCAAAAGAAGGATATAGAATCTTAAAATAAAAAATCCATAATAATACATTAATACCATTATGTTTTTCTCGCAAACATATAAATAATAGCTATTTTTTAAATTATACCTTACGGTGAGTTGCACAAACGTCCATTAAGGTTTAATGACGCCTTTAAGCTCTAATGATTGTCAAATTTGTATGGGTAATGTCGCCTTAAACTAATGATAATTTTAATGGACCTTTGTGCAACTGGCTGTATGTCACCCGTGTATGATACAGCTTTCCGTAGGTGAAAGAACTTTTTAAATCGGTCCAGTAGTTTCGGAGCACATTCGATACAAACGAACAACTCTTCATAATATTAGTATAGATAAAGGAATATAGTAACTTATAACTCGTCAATTCATATGCCACATAGCGCCCTCTATTGACGATAAAAAGGAAATCACACACCACCACTCCACCTTAAGAAAATCACCAGAAGCATTTGAAGTTGAAATATATTTATTACTTCGCTCCACTCCGCTCAATTGAGAGATGAGAGAGCGAAGGAAAGAAATCCATGGCACGACAGAGCGGCGAGTTTTAAAACGCTGTATAGTCGTAAATGCTTTAGTCTCGTTCTCAAGAGCACGACATCCGCTCCACAATAATATGAACAAAAGGAAATGTAAAAAAAGGAACTCGCGTCATCGTTATACAACACCCGTATGTTATTCGGAATCAAGGAATGGTATGCGAACGTATCGCTTACGTGATTCAATAATGTATGAATCAACTGTAGGTGTTTAGAACCGTCATTTGAGTTCATATTTAATGAAATGCGGACTTCATTGAAATTGATTTTCTGAAGAAGTATGTCCCAAAATGAAGTTCATATCTAACGGCCATATAGCACCAGCTACTCTAAAACTTGGGAACTCCAACACTCGAAGTCGTTGACAATTACGCGTACTTAGGGCAGACCATCCAGCTAGAATCAACTTTGAGAAAGAGGTCGATCGTCGAATCCAACTCGGTTCTCGTTCGAGAAGCTTCATAGTATCTTCTCCTTCTTACTGCAGTGTCTCAAAGCAAAGATGTTTAACCAATATGTGTTACCAGTGATGATGGAGTGGTCGCTAACTGTGGAACGCGATGGAAAGCGCTACGATCGCAGTTTCTCTGCGAGATCGAATCAGAAACGAGAAGATTCGCAGACGAGCCAACGTGACCATTATAGCCCAAAGACAGTTATAGCACAAAGACAGCAAAGTGGCAACCACGAAGCGTGGGCAGGCCTACCCACAAGTTGGACCGACAACCTGGTCAGGATTGCGGGGGAAGCGTTAGACCGCGAGCAACCGATTAACGTGGCGATTTTTGGTGGAGGCATTCGTTTTTATCCATTAAGAATACTTTATAGTAAATTAAAATAGTACGACATTGTATGTAGTATGTAGAATACAATACTACGCACATCAATACATCAGGTTCTCACAGAATGCTAGTATAGATAATAAAGATTTTAGTCTTTATTTGCTATAATATACTATAACCAAGTTGGGTATGAAAGCAATTTCTGTTTAAACCTCTGGAAAGTGGAAAATAACAAAAGCTATGGAGACTGCGATAAAAGGGTGTGTGCGTAACGACGGACACTCTGACATCAAGTTCTGGATGGCACTCCCGTGTTTTAAACCGTTTAAGAATTACTATATATCTGGCTAATTACCAGCTGCGAACACTTTACATACATACATTACACATTTATATATTATATAAACACAAGAACCAGTACTATAAATTCATGTACTCAGTTCATAAGCCAGTGTTCGTTCAACATCAACTGGTCTTAGATATCATTCCACCATTCAATATTAGCTACTCAGTTCGAAATATAGGGAATTATTCATTTCAAAAAACCATTCCTTGGCCCTTTAAAACTGCAAGTAGAAACATGCGACTCAGGATTGCCATCTGTAAACTAGGACAAAGAGTTCCAATGCAAAAGGATTTGTAAGCGTGAAAGCGTGGAATATTCTATATGTTTACTTAATAACGCGACATTTTTCTATTCAAACAATATGAAAAAGCGCTGCAGGACGTATGGCAATCCAGTTCGACGAATACAATTTTGCTGGTGTATTATTAATAAGGATACAAATATTAAATAGCTGTGTTAATGCGTGAAAGCTTCGTAATATTGACCAACCACCGTGCTTGTTTATTAACTATAGTCATCATATAAAACTAACAGTATCACTGTCATAAGTAATTAAAAAGAAAACCTAGCGATCACAGTGACTACCGCGGCATGATGAAGACGCCAAATTAAAAACTAGATTTCTCTGAATGAAAGAAGAGTTAAAAGTCTATGAAAATAAAGTTGAACCCAAGCCCAATATATTTGAATTAGAAAAGATTTACACACGTTTGCGTATTAAACAGAACTAACAAGTGAAATTAAATATTGTGAATTATAGAATAAAGCATAATTTTGCCTGTTAAGTGACGGAGTTTGGCAAAGCAAGAGCTTTTTGCACTAGAGTTGTTATTTTTCATTACTAATACCTGCGCATTAGCGTTGATTAATGTTCTAACCGTCATTGCCCTTGTGGTTTCAATCTGCCACCTCTGAATAAATTGTAGATATCTTAGAAACTATGAGTGATCGGAATAGGTATAAGAAAACTTTTCAAGATAAGTTTGAGAAACTGTCACAATATTTCTTTTACTTGCGTCTTTTCTAGTGGTCGATATTTGTTATTTTAATGATATATAAAATATAACAGTTATTCTATATGTTCACGCGCGGTCTTTTGCGGAGAGGAGGACCTAGCTCCTATAAGACCACACGAGTATAACTTCTGTAGCTTTTATAGTTTCTGATGTCAGCGTTAGATATTTGGGGTTCTATTGCCTAACTGAAGCCCTAATTGCTCTGTGAAAATTAAGACTTTATTGATCCCAAGAGTCGGCGAATATTTTTTTAGTTATAAAAATATATAAGTTATAAAAAAAAAGAATAAGACTAGATAGAGTATAAAATGAAAAATTCCAAACCACATTTTAAGCACTAACATTATAAGTTGTGACAGCCGCTAGTTATGTCTTGTCGAAAAGTTTAATTAGATAAATATGGCAAATATACCTATTACGATCACTACTAATTAGTAATAAATAATTAAGGATAAAACATTATTAATAAATATTTGTAAAACAAAATCAAATATAAACTAAAAATTAATACTTGTGTTAAAATAAAATCTAAATACACTACGAGCCCAAATGTTACTATAGAATTAGTCAACGTTAATACAAATTAAATAAACTAAAAATTAATTAATTCGTTAATAATCCTCGTGGTATTAATTGCAGGAATCCATGGGTTTCGTACACTAAACAGCACATCGAGTTACAACAAACATCTATTTTTGCAATCAATTCTGAACTATAATTAGATTAGGTTTCAAATATATTACAGAAATTTGATAGATTTTTATGACATGATATGCAGTTCAATGTACGTATGGAGTCCATACTTCGCATACTTTGTTATAAAACCTCTCAAACATATTTTCTTTCAAACAGTCTTAACTAAGGGGTCATCCATAATTTACGTGAACACATTATGGGGGAGAAGGTAAACGAAGTGTGGTTTTGTGTGACAAGAGGTGTAAAAGTTCCCAAATTGCGTGATGTAAATTTTCAAACTCTACATATATAAAAGAAAAATGGTCTTCTTCAAATAAAAATTATTTGAAAACTGAATGAAAATAAAATTGTTGTATAAGTTCAAATAATAAACTCGTAAATCATTTATTGAAAAAATATTTCATTGTAATTTATTAATTATTAAAATTTTGGATAAAAAAGAACTAATAAGTCAAACAATCAGGCTTTATGACAAAAACAAACTCCATAAGTACTATTTTAAATGAATACTTGCTTTATGTGAGATTTTACAATATGTCACGTTACACAAGATGGGACGAGTGCTCAACTGTGTCCTAACGAAACTCAATAAAATGGTAGAATCTTCTTAACTATAATTCCTACGAATTAACGTGACACCTGAGGGCCTATTCTATTTGTCCTCGAACGGAAATTAGGAAGGTTTCGCACAGTTCAAATCATATACGTGAAGATTATCTGTGCAACCTGAGTTGCATCATAAATTATCAAAAAACACGTTTATTTGGCAAGCTGGCTATCAGTATAAGCATTTCTAAAACCGATGAAATATCGTTTTCGGAGAAACAGAATGAGCCTTCAGATGTTTTGCTTTTTCGTTTGACAGTAAATCAAGCGGCAATTATTGACATAAGAGTGTAAGTGGCCAATACTTTGAAAGTGAAGATAATGTCTAATTTATCTAATGTAATTGTTAATTTAGTGTCCTATTTTATTTATATGTAATCATTTTAATTAATTTGATAATGAATGTTAATTAACTTATTCTCTTTATGGTAATGTGTGATAATTATAATTGCAGTATCTTGTTTTTTCACAATAATAATAAATAAATGTCATGTTAACTATATATGAATTAAACGTATAAAAGCACTGAATGTACCTGAGCGTGTGCGTTAATCAAATCGCGCACGGTACTGGCGCGCGGCGAGTCTAGCTGCCGCCGCTGCTGTTGTATGGTGGCAGATAGTTTATCTAGAAACGCTGGCTGGACGGCCGTCTGTAGAGAGCCTAAGTAAAAACACAAGAACGGTGTTGATTAAAACCGGATACGGGTAGAATTCTAATAACAATTATGTTGTTTTAAACTATGTATCGTATCTGATTTATTTTTGCAAATATTGTAATTTCATATATATGTATATATTCTTAGATATGTAGCTTATTGTAAATAATATTTTGTATTGTGATGATCCCATCTCAGAGTGCCAGGGACCAAGTGGATTTTTAAGCATTTTTCATTAAGTTTATTTTGCAGTATAGCATTGTGTATGAGAAATTGATCAAATATAATAATATTATTATGAACTAGCTTTCGCCAGCGGCTTCGCCCACGTGGTCCCTAGGGAAATGTTAAGTGGGATAAAAAGTATCCTATTATCTAAATCAGCTAATACCCTATCTGTATACCAAATTTCATCAAAATCTGTTCAGTAGTTTCGGCGTGATTTAACTTTTTTAATTAGGGATGACTGAGAGTGTTATAAACGTAAGAGTAGACAATAGACAAATACAATCAGATGGCTTCGAACTGCTAAGCTATCGGGAGTTACACGTGTTATTGTGAGTCAACCATAAAAGATAGACATATGCTGTCAGGGGGATATTTTTTATATAATTTTAAGGAGAACATTTCCGTCATACATGATTTCTGGGTAGCTTTAACCATTAAGGTTGCACACGCGACGGAAGCTTAAAAAATGGAGTAACTTCTCCCGTTTTCCCAACATTTCCCTTCACTGCTCTGCTCCTATTGATTGTAGCGTGATGAAAAGTATACTATAACCAGCTCAGGAGTATGAAAAATAATTGTACCAAGTTTCGTTAAAATCCGTCGAGTAGTTTTTGTTTCTATAACGGTTATACAGACAGACAGACTGACAGACAGACAGACAAAAATTTTACTGATTGCATTTTTGGCATCAGTATCGATCCCTAATCACCCCCTGATAGTTATTTTGGAAATATATTTCATGTACAGAATTGACCTCTCTACAGATTTATTATAAGTATAGATAGATAGATTATTCTGTCACTTGGGTTTATTTTTTTTAATCTCTGATGCTCCACCCACTTTAGTTTATTTTACTGGTCGACTAGCAGAGAATACCGTACGGTATTACGTCGGCCCTTTGCTGCATTGCAATAAATATTAAATATATAAATAAATTATCATTACTGTACGAGTAAACCCGTACATTTAGTATATAGCATCCTTGAGCGTCATCAGCATTTTACTCGAGTGACTCGTTCACTGGCCTAGTTTACCTGTAGCAGTTATATTTTATTAATTTACGAATTGACATTTTTCTGTATGTAATTTTAGTGTGTAAAACCGTGACAAAACACGTCTTTCTTATAATATGAATCTACGGTCTTCCGCACTCACAGCAACCTTAAAGTGTAGACTACCCCTACATTTTACAATTACATTGATAAATATTTGCGGGATTACTACCATGTACCCATAGAATTCATCGTCATAATTATCAGCAGCCGTCCTCACTTGGCGCTAAAGCCTTTCTTATGGAGGACGGGCCATAACCCTCCAAGCTGGCCTATTTGACATCTGAGCTCTATGTGTGATAAGGTTGTGATAACTTAGATTACTTTATTTATTAATAATAATACATTTTAACGCACTCAATATAACACAGGTTACAGGAAAATTACATTAAGAAGAAACAGAACACAAATTATTATGCGCAGAGTACACTTTGAGCGTATTATCCGGTCATTATATGTAAGTTTAAGAGCTTGATTAGTATTTAAAACATTAACTTCGCATACACTTTTTAAAGTTCTATATAAGCATCGCTTTTAATGTAGTCCAGGCTTTATATTACAGCGGAATTACCTTTAGATTTGGGCGGTGAATCTGCCGCAGTGATGGTCGAGATCGCTCGTCTTGTCGTTCTAGGTGACAGCTGAGGGGCCAGCTTTGCGCTCAAGCTGGCTATCAGACCGCTCTCTGTTGATTAATCGTCATTTTTTTTAATATCACCAGATGGTGAAGAAATTATTGTGTTGATAATCTATCAAAACAATAATTTCTACATTGTTAGAGCACAGGCCTTCGTCACATGTTTGGAATCATATAGGAGGAACAGATCGTAACCACCGGGCAGTGGACGTTAAAAACTGCAGATAAAAATAATTCACTTAAATATAGGTCATAACAGAGCTAATAAATACACTGTCCCTGATGATATGTAGCTATAGTAGGTACTGCAAAGTAATGCCAAGTAATCGATTAATAATCCCTTGTTCCTTTAATCCCTTAAGTAGTGCATAAAAAATAATTTACGTAATAAATCATGTAAATTATATGATTGACCTTACTTTTCGAAATCGAAATTGTAAGAAATAGAATTATTAATTTATAAACACACAAGTAAATAATTTTATATGGTGATTAAATATACTCAAATTTTCAAATTTTTCCACAGTATTTTCTCATTTCTTTTTTCTTTCATAAGAACCTTCTCCTGACAATAACAAACGCAACAAAAAAGAATTAGCGAAATCGGTCCAGTCGTTCACGTGTGATGACGTGACCAAGGGAAGTAGGGATTCATTTTTATACAATATGTAACATACCTCTAATTAACGCACATCATAAAAGTACTTTGTTTAAAATCAAATACTAATTCGCTTTCAACAACTTCTAATATAGGTAATTTTTTGCTAAATTTATTTGGAATCAAGTTAATTGTGGTCACCTGTAACCACTACAGCTGTCACAAACAAAAAATAAACTTAAGTGAATGTAATTAGGCTTTTTAAAATGCACTATATTCTTAGCTTGTAAAATACAACATAGGAAAAAACAACAAAGAAAAATGAGCTTTCTTTTAAAGTGCCTTGAGTCTAAAATGCTCTTAAACGCTATGAACCAAAGAGTAAAATAATTCATAAAGAGAAAATAATGTACCACAAATAAACATGACATATGTGACAAACATTACAGTGGCAGTGGAAGATTATTTTATCGCAATTAAGTTTATCGAATTTTCATTTTCACATGCTATGATTCTTCATTATACTAACGTACAGTAAATACATTGAAATGCTAAAGGGTTAGGGCACAATGTGGTGATATTGTGCTCGCTGAGTGATATGTGATCGCAAGACTGTGCTAGCCGATACTCATAACAAGTAAGAATCATAATTATTGTCTAAACTTAAAAAAAACACTTTGAATCTCGAAACAGAGTAATATTTCATGTCAAGAATTTTTATTTGTAGTTAGGTGGTATCGTTGTGTCATTGCGCTGTAGGTACATACATTTGTAATTGTATAATTTTGACGTCATTGTGTGAATTTGTAAGATGTCGACACTGTTACCCAGCAATTACTATAATTGTATGTATCCATACATAATGTTTTAGTACATAAAGGTAATATTCCAATGTTATTTTTATGATTATAAATGTATTTTCTTATAAAGTTGTGCGCTAATTGTTAGACGTTGTATATATACATTATAAGTCAAAGAACTCCCATGAAGAATGTGTTCAGTAAGGCTAATAAAATAAAGCAATTAAACTTCAAGCGGACATTTGTTACTAAACTTCTTTACGCAGAATATCCGGTTCGATAAAAGTTAAACCGAATAATTTACCTTATTCGGTTATTCGGAGAAACCACAATTCGGAGCATCTCTGATAAATACATTTAAAGGTATATTTATATGGATAGGGTTGTCACTCACGATCGTGCCGGTCGGCACTGTGCGCGCGCGCATCCCTGTCGCGACGCGCGGCCAGCGGGCTGAGGGGGTCGCGGCGCGCCACCGGCTGCGCGTATATACTGTTGCTCTGACCGTACTTCTTCTCCTGTTGGAGCTTGAAACCTAACCGCACATACAATCATCATAATATATACTTGATCGATTGGCTACATGAAAATAATACACGACTATCGGTCATATGTCGAAAAATGTTTCATGTGTTTTTTAGTCATTTGTCGTTTAATAAAAAAAAAATAGATTTTGTTAGTTGACAAAATTAGTTAAGATTGGCATTATATGAAAATAACTCATCTTTGCGTATACGAGGTAACTAGGCTGATAACTAGGTAGTATTAATTACTTGTTTTAAAATAAATTGAAGATAACTTTATTTTTGCATAATTTACTTGCAATCTATAATTACCACGAGCGTGTACTGACTTATTAAGAGAGGTACCTATACACCGAACATCGCATTGCTGTAAATGGTATAGATGTATTCCGTTATTAATTGAACGAATTCATAAAGGCGGCACTGTTTATCATATGTTATACCTATATGAGTGGTAATTTATGTCTCATATTAGGGAAGCCTGTAATAATAGTAGTGTATTGCAAATATATAAATAATCTGCGAATTACGAGAACCGAAGCATCGGGTCACATTACCATAAACTAAACATTAATTCATTGTTGCGAAATATGCAAGTAGTATGTGTACTAACATTTTGAAATGTGACGTCACGGCTCAAAATGCCAAGTTACTGATTGCTTCTGTATTTTTTACACTTTTTAAATACATCTCCATTCCATTAACAGTCAAGAAGCCAATTTTGCATTCACGGTGCTATGTGTATCTTAAAGGAAAATGTTATAACACACTAGTTCCTACGTATCCAAGCAATGTTAGATATAAATACCTGTTTGTCCATAGTGTGAATCGTTGTTAATTCGGGGTCCGAAACTGGTGAACGAATTGTTCTCGCCGTAACTGGGCGTCGATGGGCTCGACCCGTGTGATGAACCACCTGAGATAAATAAATCAAGCACTTGAGATATGGCTCGAACTCGAGAACGTATTTTCTACACCAAAATGTCACTTTTCTCGAGTGTACTTTTGTACATTTGGTGTAGACAAAGCGTTTCTCGAGTTAGTCATGCTACGCGTGCAGGGCATATAACTACTACAAAAACTATGACTATATTCTTTTACTTAATAACAAGTTCTGAAATGAACTGATTATAATTTATATATGGTCTGATTATCGCGATTATATTTAAAAAGAGAACATAAAACCTATTATTACAGACTGTTTTTTAATCAAGCTAATTTATAAATAAATATAAATAAGCTTGATTAAAAAAGCAGTCTTTGCATATACAGATTACGGTATTTAACATAGTATGCATACAATTTTTAAGCAATTCTCAATTCACGCAAATTATTACAAGGTCAAATCATTACGTCAATAAGTCATCGTTAATAAAGTGTAATCTAACTTCTAATAAATTTTATAATGTTACCTAATATGGTTTAGGCATTAATTTAAGGGGCATTCCCTAGTCGTCATCACCGATTTCGCTCAGGATATGATATGTAGGACTTGGTTAGAGATAAAATTACCCAAAGTAGAAACTAGAGATGGCCAAGCGTTTAGAAAAAAAAAATTATTTTCGCGACTTTTTCACCATATAAGCTATAAATGTTGACAAGTTTACCAACCAGCAGCTGGCGTAGCGGTAACAGCTCCGACTAGTAATCTCATGGTCGTGAGTTCTTTGGAGAAAAAAAAGTATATTTTTTTTTATTTCTTTTTAAATAAAAAAAAATAAAAAAAAATGTCTTCCCATGCGGAATCGAACTCACGACCATGAGATTACTAGTCGGAGCTGTTACCGCTTCGCCAGCTGCTGGTTGGTAAACTTGTCAACATTTATAGCTTATATGGTGAAAAAATCGCGATTTTTTTTTTCTAAACGCTTGGCCATCTGGAATTCCCACTTTGGGTAATTTAATCTCTAACCAAGTCCTACATGTCCTATAAATTTGAGCGAAATCGGTGATAACGAGTAGGGAATGCCCCCTTGTTAGAAAGATCATATTTTGTAAATCAATCAATGTTAATAGGTTTTAATACTTCCCTAGAAATACAATTAAAAAAAAAAGCTTTATTCTACAAGATAAACCCTTTCATTTAATCCCATATTTGGTGGGTCGTTTAGAAGTATGTAGTATGTACGCCGCCATTTTGTTACGGCAGCCATTTTGGATTGATAATAATGCTAATTCTATATCGATATTTCAAATTTTAATTCAATAGGAGACCGGGTAGTAAGTAAAATTTAGCTTGCAAGAGCTAATTAAACAAAATACAAACATCAGGACAGGTGAAAATAAATAAAAGCTAGTAAAAAGTAGGTACTCACCTGTATTGCCATCTCTAAAGAGATCCTGATTGGAGCTATTCAAGCTGTTCTTCCTTACGTATACAGAGTTTTCAACGTAAGTCATTATACGGTGACCCGTCTGCCCGTATATAGGGTTCAGATTGCCGGTGCTGTTCAAGCTGGTGTTAGACGAGTACTTGCTCTGATGGAATGTGCTGAGCGGTGTGTTCGCGTTGTTCTGGTTCTGGTTCTGCATCTGTTGAAGACTCCGGCGGACTAGGCCGGGGGAGGCGGGCATGTGTTTCAACTCTGTCAGTTGTTTAACAGTTTCTGCCACATTTATACCTGTGTGAGCTGGAGAACAACAATTAAACTTTAGTTATAAATCGGGAAAGAAAATGGGCGTAATTTAACGTTAACCGGCATTCTTTCACACGTTGCATTAATGAAAAATGTCATACAAAGAATATATGGTATCCAGCTATTATTATATGAATATACATAATTATATTCCCAGTGCAAGTTTATATCAATAAAATTACAACAAAAACAAAACGAAAAAACATTTTATATTTTCATGAATTTATTCTCTCTGTAGAAAAAATACGACTGACTGACGCTCTCAATTTGCACTCAACGGTTGAAGTTGATTAAGTTGCAGCAAAACTCAGTTTTTAAGCGATGCAAGTGTCATAGCGCCATCTACGTGACTATACGAGAATACTTGAAGCTTCCGTCTTGCCGTTGATTATCGTGACGATGTGAGCACTATGACATAGATGTCGCCACATAAGTAAACTACCCTCGTACAATAACTACGTCAACAAGTTATAAATGATTCATCGAATAAGACTGACCCGTATTAGTATCGTTCTCGGGTTGTAATAGGAAAGCCGGTGGTGGTGGTAAATTATCCGCGTCCGTCGGAACCATATGCTGAGCTGCGTTACCCTGTCAAAAAAATGTTACTACATTATAGTTATAATTATTTGTTCTTATCTGTATTATATGTAACCAGATTATTTATATATATACGAGAAATAGTGAGTCCTGAATAAATCAACCTTATTTAATTTACTTTATTTATATGATTTATACACGTATATTTTGTTATGCAGCGCTTGCTCTTCTAGTTGTTCAGTTAGAAGAGCATCTTAAGACATCCGAGATAGTTCATTTCTTAGATACATTTTCCGAACAGTTATGTGTAAAAAAATTCGATAAATATTGTTTTAATGCTTTTTTTTTTTAATTCAAATGCTTAGTGACTGGTTCATATTTGGTATCATGTACTATAATTATGTTGTATTGTGTATTATTTTGTATCTTATTTAATATCAGAAACTCATACAAAACAACCCGCTAATAACTATTATTGTAATTCAATAGATATAATCTCAAAACAAACTCAAAATTGAATGTATTGGAATTATTTTAATACAATAAAATATTGTACTCTGTTTGAAAAAGTACTTATATAATTTAATAAACCACAAAAGAAGTTTTCTTGTCCTAATAATTTAATTTATTTTTTGTATCCGCGACAGTCCGTCAGTCACGTGAGTAGTGGTTGAGATATCATCATCATATTGGCATGTAACAAACAAACGCATCGAGTTTATCGAACGCTAATAGATGCGTGGACAATTTATTCTCACAATACGTTTAAGAACATCGCGCGTGAAGCCGATGTTGGATGAATGTAAAGGTGCGAATGTTAATGAATGCGTAAACGTTTTAATCCCTCCCTCCCAATGAAAAGGTAAGGAATCGGGACGCTTTAACGTGTTACCACATGCGATATTATCGACCTTAATAACGCGCCTGTGTGGGGGAGCCTTTATTCTAGTAGCAGGTTAAATATGATCGTGTATTCTTAACATAGTTTAGTTAGTTTATATTTAAAATTATTTAGATTAAATTGCCATTATGTGCCTAAAATAAAAATTTATTTTAGATAAAAAAAAATTGAATAGTAAAAAATAAAAATTTAGATATATTTTTTGGAATGATAAGTACGTGTTTATAATACAGATGATAATGTTAATTAATATAAGGACAAATTTTAGTGAAGGAATGTAAAATTATATTACATGTAGATAACAAATGTACATAGTTCATTTACTTTTATTTCACATGTATTAGAATAAAATATTAATAAATAAACGTGCTACGAGATTTAGTGTACTGCTTGATATAATGCGTTTGTCACGAACCCTTTTTATTATGTACTTAGCGCGTTAACAAATTTTACGCATTAATTAACACGCAATTTTTTCTTAATTTAGAACAACTATAAATAAAGTCATCAAATCTTCACAAGGCATTGGTTACTAAATTTTGCTTCTGGATACTTTTTAAGGACCATCTTTAAATACACTGAAAAGGGTGCTATTTCTCTGATTTTTATACAGGGTCTTTGGGAGTTCAAATATACAGTGACGTAGCAATTAAATTAAAAAAAATACCTGTACGTATGGTGGTCGTTGAGGCCTTGATATAGAAGATGAACGGCGTACAGGTGGCGGCGGCTTGCCCAGCGAACTAGAGCTGCCGCGACGGGACCATACTGATGCTACGAACAAAACGACCCTCTCAACATGTTGACACTTAAGGCAAGGAACCAAGTTGGTGGTTTTGGTAGTTTTACTTTTTTGTATAGAAATCGCACGTAAAGATGAATTAGTAACCAACTAAAACTAAACTCGTGTAAATAGTGGAGTTAGTTTTTGGTACAAGCACTGATGCCAACTACTGATCTCATGTAAAATCTTCTTAAATACTCAAAGAATTCGTTAGAAACAGAAACATTAATTTTAATAACTTATTCTAAAATAAAATGGTACATCCGTACAATTATGAAATTTTAATCCTTTTTTATAAATCTCGTTGTGGACTATAAAGCATACAATTCGTTTTAGAATTTACTTTAACAGATTAGGTCCCTATAGTTTCGAATTAAGGGGATGGAAATTGTTCAAAATGATCTCGCTTGTTTCTATTACAGGCCCTTAGACGATTTGGCCAGATATCAATGGCGGCACGAATCTTTTCTAGCGGAATTCGTTTTGCTTCTCAAATAAGGGTTCGCTTCAGTGACTCCAAGTTTGAGTGGGACTTTCGGCAGGCCCTGAGCTCTAATTCAGTCCGTAAAGAATAATCCAGCGGGTAAAGTCGGGGCTGGAGGAAAAGCAAGATCACCTCTGTACGAATACTGTTTTGCAATCCGTGTGGATACACTTTAATCGGAATTAGTATAGTTACAAACTAAATATTAGAACATGCAGACAAAACAAAAGCTACGATCATGCTGTCGCAAATTTTGTACGTCTCTAGAGAAAAAGTGCATTTTGGAATTAAAGTATTCAGCATTCTATCGTTGGAGCAATGCCTACGCAACGAAATGCATTGCTCAATAGAGACTTGCATATAATATACAACCATTAATAAAACGTAACTCTGTAAACTTTTTAATTATAACCAGACGGAAATTTAACGTATATTAAAGGGTTTAGCCGGATACGTATGACGAGTCGGCCCCCAAATGGGAATCGATATTGAAACTTATGTTTTAATATAGACTTGATGTTCAAACACGATTTATGTACTTTTCGCGACCGACTTCCGCTTTGACCTTGAGATAGAGAGCAAAATATCCGTATGCTTGACTATTACTGAATGTGATATATCTCTGAAGCTAATTAAGATAAAGAAGTGAAACTAACGCGAGGTGTTAGGTTACATTACAGAGTATATCACATATATTTTTTTATAATTTTTAGAATAAAAAATTACATTAAAAAAAAAAAAATAAAAAAAAAAACATGTTTTTTTTCTGAGTTCTCTGTGACTTACAATCACGAAATTAATATATGTTGTGCTCCTTTGTGTGCTCTATTACCCATAAAAATTGCGTGAAAAAAAAGTTGGTGCAACACAACTAAAAACTCGATAAGGATAAAGGATTCCCGTCACCTGGATGATTCACAGGTAATTGATACATTAGTGTTATTGCCTGAATGAGTAATCAATCACTTATTACATTTCATAATAAAACTTTTCCCCAATCCTGTTACTGTAATTAAGTGGAACTTTGAAAACCATGACACTGCGATATCAGGAAATTATTTATTTTAGGAATCAACTGCTGCTTTCCAAATCAATTAGGTATCACAAATAAATACCTAATTGATTTGGAAAGCAGCAGTTGAACTTTTGAAGCTAAATAATATCTTTTTTATAAATCCTAATTAAGCATTTAATTCAACACTGCCTCAAAAGTGGAGTATCTACTCACAAACGCTATGTCGTTTGCTAGGCCCTAGAATTAGTGATGCAACGATATATCGGAAAAGCGATATACACCCAAGAAATCGATATCAAAGTACAGCGATATCGATATCGAAAAACCGACATTTCGAAACCTAATATCGAATGTAATCCTAAGAGTAAATATCAAATTTCAAATGTGGTGTTACGCGAGTTACACTTGTGACATTACTTTGTCACACTGATTTTTTTTTGAATTCGTAGTAGCTTTTTATTGTTATTATTTGTACTTAATTTCAAAATAAAGTGTTCTTCGCAATTTAATTGCAATCTATTTAAAGTGGCAATAAGACATTTTCCAATTGTGACCAGGAGCTACACGTACAGCGAAGCGTGGAGCTACATAATTTATTTGCCCGTGGGTTCGAATCCCATCTAAGAGTACCAGGGTCAAAGTGGATTTTTTAAGCATTTTTCATAAAGAATATTTTTCAGTATATTCTTAAAATTGACCAAATATAATAATGAAAACAAATTTTATCTTTATGGAAAGTTTAATATTTGTTAAAATATTTCTATCAGTTGTTTATATGAACTGCCTGAAAATTGATAAAAATTACGCTGTGTAATAAAAAGTAACAAATTTGAAAAATTCGTCAGGCCTGTTAGTGGTTAGAGCATCGCCCGGATTGCGAAAGTTGGTGGCCAGGGACAAGGTAGATGTTTAAAGCATTTTTTATTAATAGCTTTGAATATTGGCATTGGGAAACGATATATCTATATCGACTATAACCAATATATATCGAACTCGATATATCAATATTATTATGAACCTTGCATCTCTAACTAAAATAGATGCACTATATTGCACTCTTTGGCCAGGTCCATAAAATACTAGAGACATGCTGTCTGATCTTTTCGCCGTAGCGTAACCAGGTTATGGACGGCGAGACCCCTAAGGACCTCAAGCTGTAAATTGTTATCCCCGTAGCTCTATATAAAGAAGCAGGACAAAACCCCATCACCGCGATGCAGACTCACCCGTCATCGACACCGGCCGCCGCTTAGGCACCGCCGGTTTCTTCCCGATAGTGGCGAAGGACGGACTCTCGCATGCCTCGTCCAGACTTCTGACCGCCTCTTCCAAGCTCCCGAGGGATATAGAGAAACTCTCACGGGCAGCGGCGACCGACGCCTCGCTATCCCGACGCAAGGTCACAATCTCAGATTCCACTGTGACCGCGCAAATAAAAATCATGCAAAGCCGAAATTAAAATAACAAACGAAAACAACTACTGATTGTTACAGTGTTATTATTGATTTTTTAATGATTTTAAATTATACTGCTTAATAGATATTATTGAAAAATCATAATACCTCGTGTGGGATTCGAGTGCAATGGACAGCACGGTTTTAACAATTATTTTATATAAAATCCATTATCTATTAAATAAACACTGTAATAACCAAAAAATAACTAATACTACCTACATAACAACTAATTGATTACCACTTATAAAACAAAATAAAATATCGACAGCATTTCAAGTCACATGTATAAACCTCTACTTGATGCGAGACAAATACAAATAATACAACACATCCACATCTCAATCTATCGACATTCTGTTAACTCAACATTTATTATTAACAATACACAATTTCAAACAAATGAACGTGCAAAAACAGTAACTTAACTAGGTATAAAAATAGATTTAAAAAAATAAATTGAATACATTCTCTTATGGAAAAACTTATCCGTCAAGCAAAAAGTTATTGGTCAAAATGATCCTCAATGGAACGAATGAGACAATGTTTACAGCGAATAATTATGAATATAGTAAATATTAACCATTTAATCTAACACAATGAACAACAACAGTTCAATTCATACTATACTCCTTTTATTATAGCATTAGACAGAAGTTAAATAAGGTTCTTTTTATGGTATACTTTGTGAGAAAATATCAATAATCATGTTACTCTTAAGACTAATAGCTAATTTGCTACATATCCACTTAAATACCGGCTGCTATACTTAACCGTTGTCTTTTAAGCTATCTATTAAGGAATTTTATGAGTATTTGACTAACTTAAAAGATTTAATGACTATTACAATAAAAAGTGTTCATCTTAAAGAACCTAAAGAAGCACCTAAAGAAGTATAACTCTACCAAATTTAAAACGTTGCCTAATCCCTTCAAACGTCTTGGCAGTATACCTTTTAAATTTTGTCAGATTATGATGTATTCATAAAAGTCAAAATACGTACGTAATCTGGGATTGTCATTCATTGTGAATGCTACAATGCAAAACATCAAGAACGCATTCTTGATGTTTTGCTGTTTTCAGTGATTGAGTTGTTGTTGTTTTCTTATAGTTTTGTTTTTATTGTAATTTTTTGCTAAATATGGATGATTCCGATGTAGGCCCGAGTGGCCTCCAATAATTACCTTTGACATTTCAAGAAGTTTTTCTAGTCTCTTAATCAATAGTCTAATAATATCTGAATAAATGTTATAAAAGTAATAATAAAATTATCATTTTGTTTACCTTTCTTTCCTGGGCAAAGATTTAACTTAATTCTATTCTAATTATATACACTTACAATTAGAATATATCAAAACAAAAGATAGATAGAGGTCCATGTTGGCTTGGGAGTAAAAAATGAATTTAGAAAATGCTAGCCTAATCTCAGCCCCGAGAAAATGGAAAATTGGCCAACTCGTTCAGACTACCTAACGTTCAAAGTTTAATAAAACTATTACATATAATATTTTAAAATTTATCTTGAGAAAAAAAATGTTCTGCACTGCTGCTTTTGTGATCCTCTTTTTTCTAATGTTATAATGAATGGAGTATAGCATTATCTGAATTTATGGATCAAGAAAGAGATTCGCAATAATTATGACTTCTAAAAGTATCTTTGTAAACGATTAATTCTTGTCTCGTGCGTTGAAATGACTTGATGATTATTAATGTTGCGCTCTTCAATACACTTAGCAGAACTATACAAGTGTACTGTGTAATGGGATTAACCTAGACTCAGACATTTCTTGCGACTACCCTTCACAGTCAGTGTTAAAGTTTTATGTTCTTTCACCTACGGATCTGCTGTATCTAGTTGATAATTTCATACATTTATATGTAGAGTCTAATATCAAGAGTGACGTCCTAAAAAAACTCTAGGGTAACCAATTTCAAATTATTGCTACCGAATTAATTTGAAATCGGTGAGGGTTAAGTTACCGTCTGCGTGCTGCTGCTGAAGATGAGCCGCGTGATCGTCGCCAGCAAAGGCGCCTTGACTGCCGTAACCGCTCGATGATTCCAATGAAGACTCACTAGCACTACTCTCGGAACACACCTACGTAAATAACAAGATATCTATGAATAATAACATAAACATATTTCTACGATACCAGTTCAAGTATTAAAACCTTCTAACATAAAAGTCCAATTAAAATATCCGATGCTAACTGTTAACAGGAGCTAAGTGAGTGTAGTGATATTGTTGTTTCAGGACATCAAGTGCTTTAGATACTTAGTGCGGTATCTAAGCAATCTACTTCAACTTCGTCTTCGCAAATTTATTGTCTATCACCGCTACATGACGTAGCTTCCCTCGGTTGTTTCAGAGCCTATTTTATGGAAACAACCAAATCCTTCCTCTTTATAATATTAATACAGAGTTATTATAAACTTGGGAACTTAGAAGCCGATGAAAAAAATAGGCAAGAAATGAGTTATTTACAAATTAATCGTTTTGTAGGTCTGCTGGTAGAAATTTCAATTTGAAATAAGCAATACCTCTGTACTAATTGTACAAAGTGCTTAAATAAGTTTATAAGACTACCTAAGATGTAGTAACTAAAGACAAGTTATCAAAATAATACTTTTGAACAATAGTGTACTGAAAAACAAAATTGTCTTTATTTGGTTATATTATAAAAAAGTTTCCCAAAATTGAATTATAAATGTTTATGTAAATAATGTTTGGCTTATCAATGGATATTGAAAGGGAAATTTGTCTTACAATTTTTATTCAACAATTATAACAATGTGAAGTTCTAAATTATTATACAATCGATATAATATCAACATTATCCCACAGAACAATAATGGCGAGAAAACGATGTACAAGCTTTGCTGATTTTGATACTTGCTTATTTTAGATGAATCATTTTTATAATCACATGCAAGGAAATGATACAACTGAATGTATCATTAGAATAGACATAATATTATTTTGAATGTCGATGAATTATACACCTGTTACATTATAAAAACTTACTACGTTATAGATTCCTTCAGATAATTACTTAGGTTCATTAAAATGTTTTCATATTAGAATTAAACAGATTTCAAATTTTTGAGATCGGTTTATTAAATATTAATACATAGACATTAACATAGACATTAATACATCCTATCCTATTAATATTATAAAGGCGAAAGTTTGTAAGTATGGATGTATGGATGTTTGTTACTCTTTCACGAAAAAACTACTGGACGGATTTGGATAAAACTTTACAGCAATATAGGTTATACATCAGAATAACACATAGGGTACTTTTTACTGGGAAAACTTCTCACTCCCACGGGATACCGACTTCCACGCGGACGAAGTCGCGGGCGTCCACTAGTATTAAATATTAATAAAAAGAAAAGTCCTAAGTCATTACAATTTCTAATTTATTTTTAGTGAGTGCAAGTCTTCCTCTTTATTATTTGTATCACAGCCATTATTTCTACAAAAATTAGCTTAAATACATATAGCGCCAAATTTATTACGGAAACGTTAAAACTTTTATTATAACAGCTATAAACATGAATGCACAAATAACAAAACCATTACAAATATTGCTCAGACACTCATACGTTTTTCGCTACCGTAGTACCGTGTGACGTCACTTAGTGGCTTGAATTTGTAGGAAGTGTTTCGGCCGACATACATTATTTCCCCAAACATAGCACCTTATCTCCTAAACTATTAATCGTAGACATGCTATTACTCCTACATTATTACACAGATATTAATGAACCATTTATTTAAAAAAAAATAAAGAAATGTCAACTAGCCTAATATTATAAAATGGGTGATTTTGTATAAATTATTATACAAAATCACCCATATAATTAGTATAAATTATTTGTATAAAATATTTTAACTAACCATGTGCACGTATAAAAAAAATTGAAGATTAAAAAGTTAATGAATGTTAAGATTACACATTCTATCAGAAGATCAACGATCAAATATCTTCATTCCACTCATATCGTTTCAACTGAATGGCAAGTAATATAACCGAGACGCAGACTTCACAACGCGATACGACTCGTTCGAAGAAACTAGTGTGACGTAGATATTTGCAGCAACGTAATTAAGTGTAAATAATAAGAAAATGTTGTACTCGAGAACGAACGCATTGATATTGAACTTACTGTAAGTTTGTTTTAAATCTAATATGAGTTGTAAAATTAATCTGTTAGTTTCATAACCTGAAGACTCATAGACCACAATAAGAATCGTAGTAAAATTAAATCAACGAAAACAATTTCTTGGATTTGCAAGTGTCAAGTATTTGTTACTAAAACTTATCTGATTTAACTACAAACAAATCATATAATTTACGAGAGGAAATTATTATAGGAAAATATATGTTTATGCAACAATAATTAAATTGCTCAAACGAAGTACTTTACCACATTTCTATAAAAATAAAGTATTACATCAATTTTAAAACGTTTTCTGCCTATATTTTTCTAGATGACAAAACTTTGAACCTTATTACCATTACTGCCTACGGTTCAAATTCGTAGGGTATTAATAGTTTTAATTGTTTGCATTCTATCGTTACATTATGCAATTAAGCCGGAATTTAATTTGTAAACAAACATATCGATTTTCTCATAAGCGATTGTTTACATTCTGAGTATTGTGTGATAATCCATTATGCAATACCAACCAACGGTCTTTACACTCCTAGTATAAGTAAAGTTCATCATAAAGCTAACTTTATAACTCTATATTCACAGCTTCCTTATTCGTGGATGAAAAAATTGTAACCCAATTTCTGTACTTGTGGCTAAAATCTATTTATTCGCGGATGCAATCGGTAATAACAGTAAAAGCGTAGTTTATAAACGCATAGTCATCTTTTAAATACTTCGGACATGTGTAATGGTGGCTTTTATAACGCTTTGTAATTTTCGCGGCATATATAAGGAAAGTATCCTCCGCGAATAAGGAGCTTCCACTGTATTAAACACGGAAAAGCCTACATTGGAGAAAAGAAACATAAATACATGTACAATCTATTGTTTTTATTATAAATCTTTATTAATAGCTAATTTATAGTCTAATGAACTAATAAGTAATATTTATCAACAATATTTTTGCTTTACAGTGTCACATTAAATCTTCACATCAGTTTCCAATGGTGAGTATACTAAATATTGTTTGTTTTATATTTTCGATACAATGTCCTCCTACCAAAAATCTCTGACGGCATGATGGAAGTCAGCTTTTTTCATGATGCAGTTACAGTGTTTGAAGTCGCAAGTTTGCTAAAACTAATAACTTTAGGTCCGCTGCTATAAGCTTATTCCAAGAGAACATAGAGAACATTACAAAAGTAGGATCTGTATTAGAAACGCTTTAGTAATTAAGTGATATTATATGCTTTGATAAAAATAGCAAACTGGTTAATTTCCTTAAAAGACAAAGTACGTCATTTCATAATTTTTGCTATTAACCTACACAAATAAAATTATAATTGACTTGATGTTTGTGAAAGTAAGTAATAAACAATATAATCTTGAATTATTAAAATTTACTCAGCGTGGAAACAAACGTTTTTACTTATAGAAACTAAAGTAAAATTCATTAATCACAAACTGACTTCTTGAGTAGTCATTCGTACTATGCGAAACGTTCCCGCACACACTCAAGCTGATAAGATCAAGCTATAAATTGCAAGGGCTTATTTTATGAAGTGAATGAATCACATAGTATTTGCTTTTTCTTCTTTAGCCCTTTAGAGGATGTTGCGAAGGCAGCATACAAATCAGGTGAAATCCCTGATCAAGACACGCTTATCACACTGGATAAGATCAAAGCCAAGCTGAAGGACAGCGGAATATTCAATTGGAAAGACCCTTCGTTTACTGATCGTGAAAAGAAAGAAATGAACAAGTTGTTTGACGCTGTAGAAATTATGGTATGCTAAATTTTTCTGTTACATGACATTTTATAGAGACGTCAGCTTTGATTTAATGTAAAATTTTCAGTAGATACGTTCAGAATCGAAAGCGAATACGACCTCAACGCTGTCACACCATACAGGTTCAATCAAAATTTAATCTTAAAGAAATTATCTCGAAAAATTCAGCAGTCCCCCAGGCACCCCGAAATGAGATTCAAACAATCTTTCGCGATCTTGGTATCACAGTCGCCCGGACTGCGAAGGAATAAAATACCTGAGACTAGTGATTTATTAAAGATTTTTCTTTAAGATAAATATCAATACAGCATTGCAAATGTAAAATTGATCAAATATGATAACTTTTTAACACATAGGTATATTAAACAATGATCCTTGATATATTATTATTCCCTCTCTGATCTCCTGACGGAACCTTTTTTGTAATATTATTGAAAATATTTCTTTATCGCTTTTAATTTTATTTAAAAATGTTAAACCTACTTGGTTTTCAATGTAGACAACCTGTCAGGGTGTGTCAATCATATATTTTAAATAGTGTAGGCAGCAGGATTAGTACTAAAATAGTTTGATATGTGTTATGATTTTAATATCTATGTGATAATATTTCAGACATCATCCCGCAACAGGCAACCAACTTCAGTGCAGAACATGTTTTCCTCACTGCGGATGGTGGAACGGGCTGTAAAGAAGCAGCTAAAAGAGGGACAACTATCTGAGTCTTTAGCTGCGAAATTTCACTGGGACAAATTGTAAGTAGCTTTAGATCATTTATATATAAATTCCTGTTTAAACGCCAAGATTCTATATGATTTTTAAGAAACTGACCATGGTATTTATACCATAGAAAGGTGTAGAATTAAATTAATAAAATATCATTATAACTACTTCAGCTCCATTTTATATAATAAGGTTAATTTTAAACTAAATATATATAGTCTTCCAATTCGAGTTTGTAAACAAATTTTTAATGAATGGTTACAAGAACTTAATTATAATGATATGGAATCATTTATTATTTAGGTGCATTGTATAATTATTGGTCGTTCATGTTTTTGTGTTTTGCTTTATTTGTGGCTTTTATTTGTTATCTGATCTAGGTGGACGCTAATACCTGCAACATAGTCTTGGACTAATGCAGCTATTAACGTGTAATTGGTTTTGTACTTATTTACTGCACCAAATAAAGTTTTGTTATTATTATAGGAACAGAATTTATATAGCCTGTCATTAAATCCAATAAATGTATTTTTTTTTTCAGATCCGCCCGTCACAGAAGAGATAGACCTGCATACTACTTGGACGCGTCAACTAATATGCGAGTATTTAATATCGCTTAGATTAAACAAATAGAATTCTACACAAAAAATAATAATATTATTTACAATTTGATATTGAAAGTCAAAGTTAGTGTTTTGAGAATACTCATGACCTCCCCCTGAGCTAGGTCCAGGACCTAGGTGAACTACTTATTAAAAATTATTAAACGCGATGTTTTTATATACTTTAATCACAAAATAGATTTAATTAAAGTACTCTCTATATTACATTATTTTAATATACCGTACATCTAAAAAGCATTAGCAGGTGAAGTGAAAACGCGTCTCCGGAGCAGATTTAAAATAAATTGTATCTATTATTATCAAAATTAAATTATAATTTCTTGTGATTTTGACAACGGCTATGTGACCCAAAGCTGGATCCGCCCTTGCGTATGTAGCGCATAGTGTATTAGGAAACCCATATAATTAATAATAATCTTTAGCAATTCTTATATATCCAAAAAATATTTACTATTAAAATTTTTAACCAACGAAGAGACTAACTGTAAAAGTGTATAATTTATAACCTTTGGAATAACGGTGCAGTTTTCTTATTTTCAATTACACCATTCTCAATAGTTTTAGATTAAATTAAATAAAACTGTTTTGAACGGCTGTAACGTTTTAATATTTGATATCATGACGTTTCGGGTCCTAAATAAGTTAATGTTCCATGTTCACTTATTATTTAAATATCGATTGTGTATTTCTAATTAAGACTACTTACAAAACTATACTATTGGACACACCACAATACATTTTTTTTATGGGAACGTTTACATTTATTAAATTAAACTAGGTTCTCGCCAGCGGCTTCGCCCGCATGGTCTTGTCTATGAAAAAAAACCGCATCAAAATCCGTTGCGTAGTTTTAAAGATTTAAGCATACATATGGATATAGGGACAGATAAAGCGACTTTGTTTTATACTATTTAGTGATTTATATTACAAAATATTCGACTCATTTAATTTATTGTTTGTTTATTTACAATATACTACCGTAAACTCCCACCAGTTCCAAATTTTGGAAGTCTTATGTCAGAAGAACTACGAACATAGAAGCCGCTAATAAATATGCCTATAATTATTCTGCACTATTCAATAAGTAAAAATTATTAATATATTTTTGATGCCGAGATCACCATAATTGTCAATCATCACAATTAGCCCTTTTATGTCCCCACTGCAGGGACTCAGGCCTTCCTTATGGATAGTTAAGTATTATGAGCCATGACCATCCATGATGGCCCAACGCGAATTGATGTGTAAATGCAGATGGGATCAACGGCTTAACGTGCCTTCCAAAGCACATAGTAGCTCGAGATGATAATTTTTGGTCACCCATCCTGTGGCAGATCTCTGCAAAAGTTGCTTTACAACAACGGTCGCGTGTCGCCACTGGGTTACTTAGTAGAATCTCAACTACCGTTGGTGCCATCTGCATTTGCAGTCATTAATACCCTCCAATTCGTATTGGGCCAACGTGGAGGGTCATGACTCATCATCCTTAACCACCCATAAGGAAGGCCTGAGCCCCTGAAGTGGGAACGTATACATTGCGGTATTGCGGTTAACACTAACTAAATTGAAAATGAAAATGAGGGAATATCGTGCCGCTTGAAATGATGTCACCTAGTCGATAATAGTTTCCCTGATTACTTATCTCTCATAATGAATAGTTGTTGTAAAATGTAAAAGGTGTTGTTGTTGTTGACGGTGTGCACTATTATAAAGTTGGTGTGATCACTAAGTAAGATTGGGCTGCAGGCCCTTTGAGCGTCCTCTAATATTGTGTTGTTGTAAAGTGTTTAAGTTGTTGTTGTTGACAGAGTGCACTATTATAAAGTTGTTATGATCGCTAGGTAAGAAAGATTGGGCTGCAGGCCACTAGTGCGACTTCTAACGGTGTGTTGTTGTTGACAGAGTGCACTATAATAAAGTTGTTATGGTCGTTAAGTGAGTGAGATTGGGCTAGAGACCACTAGAGCGTCCTCTAACGGTATGTTGTTGTTGACAGAGTGCATTATTATAAAGTTGTTATGATCGCTAAGTAAGATGGGGCTGCAGGCCCCTTGGGCGTCCTCTACTGGTGTGATGTGTACATGTTTACCTTCTCCTGGTGCGGCGGGTCCGCGGCGGCGTGGTGCAGCTGCGCGCGCGTGGCGGCCAGCGTGGCCAGCTCCGACATGTTCACGTACAACGCCGCCGGCATCTCTGACAATACGCATATATACCATCAGACACATCATCACCGGGCTAATTTAATTATTATCGATAGCCAATTAGAAATAGGCAAACCCGAGGAAAGCAGAAGTAGTACGATGATTTGACAAGACAACTTGACTAAATATATACCATCCAGACACATCATCATCAGGCTAACCTAATTATTATCGATAGCCAATTAGAAATAGGGAATTCTGAGGACAGCAGAAGTTATACGAGGATTTTTACACGACAACTTGACTAACGATATTTTAATATCAAATAGTATATTTACATGAATATCTAAATCTATTAATAATTAAGAATAATATAAATCATTAAGAATTTCCTTATAATGGAATCAAATCGAATAGAGGCGCTCGCTGGCACAATGGTTAGCGTGTTCAGTCTGCGATACGGATGTTAAAAATTAACTAAATTTACTATGTCAAACTACCTCGTGCTTCAGAAGGCACGTTAAGCTGTTAATCCCGACTGCATTGCCAGTTAGTAACGTCCACCAATCTTCACTGACCCCGTTTGGTGGGTCGCTGCTCATTCTGCCGAGTCAAGCCAGATCTGATCTCCAGCATTCCCGTAATAGACTGGTGATATGATGAATGTGAATCGAATTGAATAGGCAGCATGGACACGGACCCAGTGCGGATTGGTGGGTGCTAACGTCCTGCAGATAACGAGCTGCAGAGCAGCATGATCACCGCTAATTGCCAACACTGATCGCACGTAACCTGATATAACATGAAACTCGCTGCAACCCTATATTAATGGCAAATGTGACTGATTGATCTATCAACGTACAGCCCAAACTTCTGGATGAAGCTAAGTGAAAATCGCACAAATAATTTGAATTAAAAAATCGATTATACCTTTGGTAAGATGTGGTGGCAAAGACGACGGCTTGGTCGTCTTGAAGTCTTGTTGGCCGGTGTTAGCGTTAGCCGACTTTGCCGGGACCGAAGGCCTCTCCAGCGATGAACATCTCTAAAGAAAACAATATAAATTTACATATACAAAACACATTGAATAAAACGATGGAGATATTACTAATTAAACTTGGTTATTCGTTTATTTACCTTTGCATACAATAACTAAACAAAACTGTAATCGTATGATATAGGTATTAAGTTCATCAATATGATTCTTTTTATAATTGGATATAGTTAAGCAAACCAGATCCCACACGTTTGAGAAAAACGGGTTTCTCGTTTTTAGTTAAATTATTTGAGTATTGTAGATTTTATTTGCTTTTATTTATTTATCAAAAAGTTTTTTCTTATAAAAACCTTCCTGACTCTTTATTGCAAAATGTATTTGATGTTGGTTGGATCTTCATTACGAAATATATTTGTATGGAGGACAATGACATATTGACAAATGTTATTAATATGATTATAAAAATTATTATAATGTGAAGTTATATAAATACAGTATTTATAAAAATATGTTAGTATACACAAAAATACTGTTTATAATTATATCACTGTGATTGCGAAAAAGAGTTTGGATCATTTTTGCAAAATCAAGCATTGCAATCATGAATTTATTTATTTATTTATTTATTTATTATCATAAGACACACTAACAGTACAAAAATCGAAACAATAATTACGTAATCACCAAGAATCACATCTGATATTTGCACCAATTATAAGCGTGTACAGCATTGGCAAATTGTGTCACAATTGAAATAAATTTAATACGAATTTACAAATTATAAAATAAAATAATAATTCTAATTGATTAAGAATACTCAAATATTACAATTAATACATTGCAATGTTAAATTCTACTTAGTCATATAATACAAATAAAAAAAAATTTAGATATGTTGATATTGCATGTCAGTTTGAAATAAAATTAGCTTAAAAGAAATAAATAAAAGTGATTAATTTAAGTAATAATAATAATAATCAAAATTGTTAATAGAAAGATACTCAAAATCTACCTCCCGAGGACAATGATTCAAGTACTCTATCCCTGAAAGTTGACAACGAAACATGAATTTACTTAGATGATACAGAAATTGGCTTAATACTGCATGACTGTTTCTTTTAACATATGAATAATTTAAATATTCATGTGCCAGTTACGATTGATCTTTCTATTTTGCAAAATTGTTCTTTTTTGAGTTGGTATTTTTTGGGTTAGGGTTAGTTTTAGGGCTATTTTTGTACCTAAACATTTTTAAATCACCTTGATCTTCACAAAACCAATAGAATGTTCATTTTTAAGCTTCTCTGTATATATAACTGATTTTAACAGATTTATGGGTTGCATCCGGTTTGTATAACTACGTCCAATTGCTTAATAAATATTCGACTTACAATAACTTAATTTCCACGGATTAAAGAAGTTATTTAAACATGTGTTAAGTATAAAACTTAAAGAAGTTATTAAGCTTAAATTCTACTACAAAAATCATCAAGGGTGAAATTAATTAGTATTTTAAACAAAGTCATTTTTTGAGCATTTTGTATTAAGAATAGTTTTCAGTATAATTTCCAAATTAATCAAAAATATAATAATTACCTTAACGGAAGTAGGTTGCGCCGTACACATATTTTAATACAAATATTTTAGATGAAAATATTATTCAGAATTTTTAATACAAATTCGATTCACATTAGATATATTTACGTTGTAACGGCAGTGTTTCAGTTTCATAGTTAAATTAATATAAAAATAAGCTGACCGTGGGTAACGGTGGACGTGATATTGAATTATCTCGTTGTGGAGAGTCTTCGGCAGTGGGAAACGTGTGTGCACTCAGCGCCGCGCGAGGGTGACCACGCTCGTACGCTTGATACAAACAGAAAATTACGTTAACATAATATGTATTCATGATAAGTTTAAAATTATTATATCAATTTGCCTAAACGATTTGATTAAACGTAATTTAAAACTGTTACAATAGATTGCTATTAAAATAAAGTCCGATTTACTCAGTTTTATAATTTTTTCAAGTAATATACAAATTAAAATTATCTTCAGCACTTCATTCCAAGCAATACGTTGTTATTTGTCTGCTAAGTCACTGCTAAATCTGTGTAAATAGCCCGGCATGTCCGTTTTAAGGCGTCCCGGATTCGATCCTTATGGGGGGGTCAATACAAAAAACTATTCTATAATGTATTGGTATGTCGTTGTCAGATTTCCACAGCACAAGTGCTTAAACTATTCAATTTAAGGCCTGCGCAATACATATCAGATTATTTTAATATTTATATGTGGTTATAAAAGGTTACCTGCTGAGATAGTATGCGGTCTTCCGCTCATGATGGCGGACGCAGCTCGTTCGAACTGCGCCGTGTCCTTCAAATCGGGCCATGTTGCTGACGCTTTAACAAACGAACAAATAAAAATATGCAATAGTAACAATTTCAATTTAAATTATAGCCTACGACACACGCATACTATGTAGCTTCCCGATGGTGCAAGAATTTTAAAATCAGTATAGTAGTTTCGAGAACCGGCTATCTATAATATAATTGCTATACAACTTAGGTATCCATTTAATAATAGTTACTTCCACGTGATTAGAAAGCAAGAAAGAAAGAAAGAAATTTATTAATTGACCCCACATAATCACATAATTGTAAACAAGAATACAGTAAAAAAGAAAATAAATGTAAGGCCAAGGCCACCCCTATCTCGGCAAAGGCTCCTGTATCATTCATTCATGATGGCCAGAATGATACTAAGGGCGCTGTTATTTCGACATATATACTACTTTTCAAGAGAAATGTGACATTTATATTAAAGACCTCATAGTCTTTACTAATATTTTATAGAAGAAAGATTTTTCCATCGAATAAACACTAAACCTACTGGACCGACTATAAAAATTCTTTCATCTAAGGAAACGGCAAATAAAGAGATAAATTAAAACGTTAATAAATCATTTTACTATTAAATTTTTCATTGTTATTATATCCTTGTCATGATATGAAACCTTATCCAAATGGATTATTAAATAAAATTTTAATCCTAAAATAATGGCTAAAATGCAAGGGCTTCTTTTTTCAGTTCCCAAGGGACAACGTGAGCGAAGCCGCTGGCGGAAAGCTAGTATCTATAAAATCATAAGTAAATTAAATCACTCACCGGCATTGCCCAACCCGTCTAGTGTGGACTCCTCCGCGTGGTCGTCTTCGATGTTCTTCGTCGCGTGTATACATTCGCTGCTAACGCTCTGATTATCCGAACCCTGCAATAATGTATGCTGAAAACTTGTAATACTCAATCATTGCTTCGATACAATTATAAGGAGATATTCATTGTGACTGTCTACTCTATCTTAACTGATAGCCCCTAAAATATTATAAGTCAAATTAATTAAAATAAATGTAATAAAACTCATGTAAATAAAAGCATTAAATATAAATTAGTTAATTAAAATAATAATATAATCATAAATTACCAAAATAAGATAAAAAAAAAATTTAAAAAAAACAAAGACCAATTACATTATCAACGTAGAGCGAGCGTCGTTGCAACGCGTCTTGTGAGCGGAAACCAGAATCAGCGCTGCATACGCTCGCCAAGCGAAACGCTGACTACAATTACAAACGAAATAAAACAAACAAAAAATAAAAGTAAAAAACATAAAAAACAACAAATTCAAAATATATAACATTACCGTTTTTAATTTGTACTTTTTCTTCAATATATATCGCAAAACTAATTTAATTTTACAGAATTGAATAATTATGTTAAAATAGGTCCCGCCCAATCACATACCCCTTCTTAGGGGTTAAATTTATAAAGATGCAAAATTGATCAAATATTGTATATGATAGGGGGGCGTCCATAAATTACGTGAGATGTTTAAGGGGGGAGGGGGTCGAGGTAAATCTCATCTAATCTTACGTTGGAGAGAGAGGGGGTCTCGGCAAATATCACGCAATTTTTTTTCTGATTGAAACAAAAAAAAATATACTATTTTGGTCCATTTCATCCAGATTGTACATGCTTAAGATTTAATCTTAAGCGTTATCGTATACGATTAAGATCATTCTCTAATTCGTTCAAAAGAAAATGATTTCATTCATACTTCGACGCTATACATCTACTGAATGTCAAACTACCATATATGTAGGGCTCGAACGATACTTTCGATACCGAGTAGGTATCGACACTTTCAAAAGCGATACTCGATACTACAATAAGGCAAATACTCGCAAGTACTCATCAAATTGCATTTTGAAAAATCTCACGTGAGATTGGGGGATGGGGGAGGGGGTTGAATAAAATCTCACGACATCTCACCAGGGGGGGAGGGAGGGACAGAAAATTTAAAAAACACCTCACGTAATTTATGGACGCCCCCTAGTAGTATTCAATAATAGTTGTTAATTAATTACGCGAAAAAAATCTTTACCTGTGATAGGCAAGAATCCCCCCCGGGGGCAGGCAAAGTCCCAGCTGATGACGCGTTCGATATCGGCGTGGAACAACTCACTGTAGAACCTGAAACACCTGTAATTAATATAATACATACAATTATAGTAAAACCCAATAAGACGTAATTAATCTTCGCTTGCTAAGGCAAATAAAAAAATATAATAATGAATCGCTTTTTAAATGGGAAAATTAAATGACCTTACAGTGTACCCTTACATAGAAGTTAAAACCGGATGAGCATATATATCACAACCTGTCCTTTTTCGTAAATGTTCCTAGTATATAAGCCTAGTGTTACACTTACCGTGTTGCTGATCGCTGCACTGACTATTGAGGGACGATATGGATGTGAGCGAGGATTTTCTGCTGCCGAGCCTTGAGGACGCTGACGGCGAGTGCGGCGCCGAACCGCTCTCCGCCCATCCGCTGTAGCACGACTTTATGTCGCATATTACCTGAATCACACCACATAAATTAAAAGTTTATAAATTTAGTGTTACAATTAAATTCAAAATCGTGAGATTGGTCTCGCGCTCGATCAAATTATTAAAGAAGGTTGATTATCTTCAAGTAATTTAAAGACACAAAGAATAGATGTACACATATTTTTTAATTTTTATTAAATCTAAAGTAAAGTACCTGTAGACTTGCAGCAGGCAGTGTTCTTGGTTCGGCTGTGTGTCGTACGAGCTGTTCGCTGCCTTCCTGCAGGTGACCCACCTCCGCTAGCATCGCCACTTCACACTCCTACACAAAAGTTTTACATATTTTAGGAGCCATTTAACCAAAAGTGTTATATTTAAAATCCCTCCCCACTCGTCACGTTGTATGGGTACGGTTATTGGCAAGCAGCGTTTGGCTTATGAAAAGTAAGGGCTTGTCCAATATCAGTGCTTATAAACACGTTTTCACGTTAAGCCGTCACAGCTAATAATCACTGAAATGCTCTAGATGAATTTGACAGCACCCTTCTTTACTGTATACAACGTACCACCACAGGGTTGAGCAGCGACACGAAGTGACAGAAGCGGCTTCGTTCCTCGACCAGCGCGGCTTTGACAGCTTTCTCTTCCATTTCTTCCAACTGCTGCTTGCGTTCTTGCACATCCTATACAGATAAACGTACGGTTAATAAAATAGGCAACTTTAAGTAGCAAATTCTCAAGTTTTTCTCATTATTATTTAAAAAGCTATTATCGAAACTTCGAGAATTCACATAACGTGGTGACCAACAATTTTTTATTATCGCAAGTTCCTCCGTGCTTCGAAACCACAATGAATGATATGAAATACGACAACATTTCGTAAATGCCCAATTCAGAAAGCGTCATCGTAATGTTGTAATTGTTTTGAGTCCACGACCACATGCTACGCAACGTCTGGACATTTCACGAACTGGAACATTCTGAACTGAAACACATCCTCTTCACGTGCACATGAATACTATTTATGATCTAAATGATCTAAAGAACTCACCTGTATACAAACATCAGCGCGTCGTTTTGCGTCTGGTGGTGCTCTTCGCGCTTTTCTAGCATGTCTCTGCGCATCGTGGACTCTTCTACGCAACTCTGCCCGTGCACGCTTACACTCCCGCGCGTGATCGCGACTTAGTGCACCGGACGCACAACCCCTACGCCATTCCTCAGCACGCTCCGATAGGGGAGTGATTAAAGTATCCATAAGTGCACTGAAAACAATAATGACGGTAAATGGACCTCTACACCCGATGATCGTATACTGCACACAGGATGAAATAAAATTTATTACAGCAAGAGTATGCCGAACACAAATATCACTAAGCGACTGAAGACTTATACCACAACTACAATTAGAAACAGTTAACCTAGGTTTTTTGTTGAATCCGATATATGTCCGTCGATATAATCCTTATCGCACTAGACCCGTTAACATACCGGTACCATAGCTTACTGTTCCATTTATCTAACCCCTTTTAGCTACACGTCTAGTTCTGTAGTCAAATCATTTCTTCTAAAACATTAAATATACACGGCTCAATTAAAAGCCTTTGTAACATTTATACTGAGATCGTGGCGTTTCAGTTTCGTTTACAGGATGACGTTCGTTTACAAAATCTGATAATTTTGTTGGAAGTTTTTTTATAGTGAAATTATATCATAAAACACAGCAGTTTTTTTGTTATGATCAGGGCATAAGGTTACCCTGTACTCTGGTCATCGCTATTATAATATAGTTATCGCTATAAAATAAGAGTCTTGTTTTAAACTTTTTAGAGCGTTATTTAACTGTAGTTAAGTTTAAGAACTTATTTTCGAATATTTTATAAACAAAATCGCAAGCAAAAGCTATCAATATACATACGTGTATTCTCGTGTGTTCATAAGTTTTATGACGAAATAAAAGATGCGTAACTTTTTTAATAATCACCTTATATTAAAAAAAATCAGTAACCATTAAATAGACAATAGTCAACTATACATATTTCATTCAAAATGATCACCCTTGTTTTTAATAGAGGCCCTTAGACGATTTGGCCAGTCATCAATGGCGGCACGAACCCTTTCTAGCGGAATTCGCTTTGCTTCTCGAACAAGGGTTCGCTTCAGTAACTCGAAGTTAGGGTAGGACTTTCGGCAGGCCCTGAGCTCTAATTCAGTCTATAAAGAATAATGGTCGGAGCTGGAGGAGGGCCTCTCGTCCGCCGCAATGAAGGTCGTAACAACTCCGTTTTTTTTTTTGACGCTGAGAAATGCGTTACGCATACCCTCTTCACCCTGCGTGGGCTCCACGGGTGATGTGGGACTCCTCCTGTGGCCCCACCCCCGAAGGGACTAGACAAGAAACAGAAGTTTACCCACTAAAACTCAGCGATGTCCCTCGCATGGAAGGCGATGCGCCTGTGTGTGTGTATGTGTATGTATTGTGTAGGGTAGAGTAAAGTGCCGTAACAACTCCCTCAACCAAGCTTGGGTGCTTTTTGCCTTATAGGATGGCGCCGAGTCTTGGTGAAAAACTCAATCCTTATTGTGAAATAACGTATCAGACAGGGGTTTCACCACGGGTTCTTAAATGTCACTCTGATAATTCTCGGCTTTCACCTTGACACCTTGTTGGCAGAAATGAAGCGGAGTGACACCTTCATATGAAACTCCCCACTATACCATCACACTAGGCGGATGATGAGTGCGCGAGACATTCCGTACAGAAGCTGGAACATCCTTTATACTTTCAACGTACACTTTATTGTTTTGTTGATTGCACTTTCTTCGACAGTAAAAATTTTCCTGGCATCATGTCTCCTCAGCAGCAGTGGACAACGTTCACGTCGTAACTTATGAAGACGATCGTTTAAAAAGTGGACTTTTCTACGGCTATAGGCCTCTACCTTAAGATCATATTTCAGTATTCTGTTCACTGAAATACGCGAAATATTAGTCTGCAAAGCGAGTTTCTTCTGAGTGCGACATGGATTTCGGCGAAGTCGCTCTCGGATGCTTTTGATGTTAGTAGGCGTCCTCACAGAGCGTGGCCGACCACTCCTTTCGCGAACTTGCAAAGAACTTGTCTCTTTCTACGGCTGTATTGTGTAATAGACGATGTTACGACTTTTCAGCTCGCGAAAAATCTGCATCGGTTTTTTTACACCTTAAATAGCAGTTGCAAGTAATGGTTTCGTTCCCTCCATGACAAAACAAAAAAAAAACAACAGCCAGTAACATTTTATTTTATTTTTTCAGTAAAAGTTTGTCTCAAAACTTATGAACACATGAGTATATAAATGAAATGTACCAATTTAGCCTTTTTTACTAATTACCTTACACGGAATGATTGAATAATATTTTTTTTAGTTTCGTACTTTATGCTCTTTAGAGGCTACGTGGAGGCTACTGTTGCCAATTTAATGTAACGTCACATAACCTATAGCACGCGGACAACTAAACGCTTCTAATGCTACCTTATTTGTACAGTTACGATGAGTAAATTCGAAGTTATAAGGAAACAGATGTACATTCTTTCATACATACATACCAGCCACAATCATAACCCTCCTTTTCGCTTCACCGCCGTAGACGGATAAAAATAATATAACCGAAACATATTTCTAGTGTTATTATTATAAATACAAATTGTAGAATTACCTACAAGCGTTTCAAATAAGAAAACTTTTATACAATAATGTAACAAATAAGTACTTATATATCTTTAAAGTTTTCAACCTATATTGATAATCTTACCTAATGAAAGTCTTCATCCTAGTTTCTATGGCGCGGTGACGCAGGCACACCCGAGTCAACGCAGTTCCTATTTCTTTGGTAGCACCTGCAACAACAATTATAGTACCATATACATTAATGTCATTTAAAATAAATAAACATTAGACAACAGAATAAAACAGACTTCTACTAGTAAAAAGGAGGTTATCTATTTGATCTGTATTGATTTTTCGTTGGAATAGTGCATATATATTATTAGTTTATTATTAGTTTATTAGTCTATATAGACTTCTTAGCAGGTGTGTAAAATTATATATGTGTATGTTTGGGAAATACCGGGACATATAACACCATCTTCTAAGGCACTGAGATAGACGACAGAGAAACGGGATGTCTAGTGACGTTAATCTAAAATCATATAGGTATGTGTATATCTGGGGAATACCGCGACAGATAACCCCACCTTCAAGGGCACTGGAATAGACGACCGAGAAACGGGATGTCTAGTAACGTTAATCTAGATAGATGGTCAACATTTTGCACCTGATTCTGCAGCGTCATCTGAAACCTGCAGGTTTCTTAACTCCTCACCAACTTACATATATTATTATTGAAAATATTTAAAAAATAACTATCTCATTTTGGCAAAGGGCTTGAAGCTTAAACTGCTAATCTGATTTTTATAAAATTATAAACTGAGAACCACCGCGAACAATAAGGCTCTCGGTTAAAAATAAAAATATATATGTCGGCGAGAAGGCGATTCGATTGTGCGAAACGCCATCTGTCACCTGCAGCTGTCATCTATCAAGATCTATGGTGCTTTGCGAAACGTCAAGTTATGACATTGACGGCTGTCATCGCTTGGGAGTGGTCTATGCTTATTCGAAGATGGCACTTTACGTTGTGCGGCCATATTGAGCGAACGCAAGCGCAGAACTCTCCGCGTTTCGTATCGCAATCCGTTTGCATCGAGTTATTATTAATGTACTCCGATTAGATAATTATGTAATTCAACTAAATAACTGATTTGTGATCTATATGCAATCTTATTTCGAAGGAATATCTCGACCACTAGTCAGATTGCGGATGTTGACTAACCTAACTTTCCGCCGGCCCCGCATGGCTTTCTGACATATAATTTATTCAGGAGCTACAGACACAGACAAACCAGTCAAACTTATGACACCCCTCTTTTAGCGTTAGGGGGTTAAAAAGTATCTGATTTATGTTTACACGGTTAACAACGGAAAACGGTTAATTTTTGAATGAAAAATCCTTTGCTTTTTATTTTAAACGTAAGACGACGATCTTAGTCAATCGTTTTAAAATATAAACATTTTATAATTCTACACAATAGAAATAGTTTTTATAATCGATACACACATAAAACAAATCATAAATTCTAATGCAGAACAGAACGACTCACAGTCGGGACCCATTCAAATTTTACCAATCAAATCTTCCCAAGGGGACTATGAGTCGTTCTGTTCTGCATTAGAATTTATTATTCGTTTTATGTCTGTATCGATTATAAAACTATTTCAATTGTGTAGTAATTTAGTATTACTTAACAGAATTCTAAACTACTGGGCTTGTTTTTTCTTTTTAGTTTTTATTTAAGTTAATTTTTTCATGTAATTTTTTAAAATTTGTTTTTACGCAGTTGGATTTTTTGTTTTTCTTTAAATTATTTATTTTTATTTTATACTTTTTAGTTACGATTCGTTGACTTCGTTATAAGATGGTAAATTTCGCAATCTAGTCTTTTCATTGAGGGGGTTAATATTAGTGGGGATTATTAAGTAACTTGCGGTGGTCTAAACTACTGATGATTAGTCCCTCTAGAGACCTAACTCGGCTCAAAGCTACATATGCTTGACCTTTTGCAAAAATGCGTGAACTTAAGTCAACAGCTCGGTCCAAAGTAGTTCCTTGGAGTTTGTGTACAGTTACACCCCAGCACAATATCAATGGCAACATTTTTCGCTCTATTTTACCGTGTCCGCGAAGTGCATCGAATTGGCGATGAATAAAAGTTTTTTTTTTTTTTACCAAAAATATTTGTTCTTCTTACTTTTCACTGTTTTATTTTGTTTATATATCGTTTATACTTTAAATAAAAACTTAAATCAATAAGTAAGAAAATTTGCGAATATTATTGTTTTGTTAAACAACTTTAAATCGATATATATCCTAAACTATTATTTAAATGAAAAGTGATAAAAGATGATTTTAAAATACCTATTCAATGACACCCCATTTGACATAGGTCGTCGTTTTTTTTTCATTTTGACAATATGGCGTCTGGTTGTCGCTGTGGTGAATTTTGATTACTGTCATGTCTTTGGTGACACCCGCAAGGTTAATAAGAATCGATTGACGTAAGAATCATCAAAATCGGCCTACACATTTGGTCTCTAAAACGCCACATAGAAACAAACATACATACATACAAACATACATACATACATACATAGACTGATAAACACATTACCCTCCTTTGCGTCGAGCAGTCGGTTAAAAAAGTTCGATATATTTTAAATTTCATTTGTAATAAAGGTAAAAATGCGACGCAAGCCGTAATAAAATTTTGTGAGTGCAGTTCCTGTGAGAGTAGCACAAATTTGGTTTAAGCGTTTTCAGTCCGTAAATTTGATGTCAAAGACGCATGTCGCTCCGGTTACCCCGTTACAGATAAAGTGGATGCCGTTTTTGAAAAAGTGGAGCAAGATCGGCATAGGGATTGACCATAAAACAGTTTTGGCTCATTTGAAAACAGCTAGGTACACAAAAGTTGTGTGACAGGTTCGATGCTTGGGCGAATTAATGAAAGGCTGACTAGCTTGAGTATTGATTTATTTTATGGCAATAAACGGTAAAGAAACTGAAAGAAACCTAATGAACCGTGTACTCATTTGTGATTATTTATTACGGAGTAATGAAATAGAAACATTTTTGAATAAGCTGTGAACTGGTGATGAAAATTGAATCACGCACGCTAAGAACACACAGACAAAAGAAAGACAGATATTTTGCCACTCAGCAAAAATTTAGAGATTTTGGCTGGGAGGTGTTAACGCATCCTTCCACCTTCCAGCTGTGTCGATCTTTTCAGAATTCTTTAAGCAGTGTCAGGTTAACATCTCGCAAGGACTGCCAAAACCACTTGCCGCGGTTTTTTGATCTGAAGTTCCAAAAATTCTATGGCAATGTGATCACGTCCCTACCTACAATGTGGAAAAAAGTTATCAAATAAAATGGTACCTACATACTTTACTTAAATACAAATAAACTTTATTTGAAAAATGTTTTGAGTTTTCATATAATATGCGAAGAAACTTTTTCCCCGACCTATTTATTACATTTGATAGATTTTGCTCTCACAATGTTTAAAAATCCACTTTGTCCCTGGGACTCTGAGATGAGACTTACTTTTAAGGCATTGTGATTATGAACGCAAAATTGATCGAATATATAGACCTTAAAGAAGTTTAAGGTAATCCTTTCGAAGCGTCTCAGAAACGACGATAGTCTAAAGAATTACATAGTAAGATTAATTAAATAATAATAATATTATATACACTTGTATTGAAAAGGAAGCAGTAGCAAAAAGTAAGATAACTGTTAACATTTGAACTCTGAGTGGTAATTAGAGATATCCGCCATTTAATTTCCTCATATCACTTTTAAACGAATGCAAAAACATCTTTGCATATTCATATTTATCTATACTACTATTATAAAGAGGAAAGATTTTATTGTTTGTTTGTAAACTACTGGACTGATTTAAAAAAATTCGATGGCTGAATGTTCAGCGCACTCAGTCTGCGGTACGGTTTTAGAGCAATATACGCAATGGTCGCTTAAAAGATGGGTAACCAAAAATGTATAATTCGTAGGTCCCGACTGCGTCGGTAGTCATTAATATCCACTAATCCACACTAGGTTCGTGGTGTGGTGGGTCATGGCCCATTCTCTTTATTCGATCTGATTCGATTTTACTCATAAAGAAGGCCTGAGTTTCAGCAATGAGGTCATCAATAGGCTGGTGATGGTGATGATTTTCAAAATTATTTCAACTACAGCAGACCATTCGTGGGTATCATAAGCTATATATTTTACGTGTATAATAGTAATAAATAATAATAAAGTAATAATAAATAATAAAATGCAAAATAATTTTTACATAATTGATAAAAACACTTTTTGCATACCTAAAAAGTTTTACAAAGTAATTAGTCGCGAGCAGTTATTAGGTTTCTCTCTCTCTCTCTCTCTCAACATACCCAAGTTATTTATTAATTACATAGAAGAAATTTTAGTCGTTTTAGTAGTTATTACGTATTAGTACAAAATAAAAAGTTCATACTTTCTAAATGAACTATTTTTAATTTTGAATTCGAATTTACTATAGTAAAAGTTTGAAGGGAAATTTTTAATTTTTGTTATGAAATAATATGGACAAGACTAAGGGTTATCATTTCTAAACATAGATGACCATGATGATAGAACATAGATTTTTGAGCGTAAAACCCGTACCCACATGTTGTTATAATAAAATATTTTTAGTACGTAGATACATTTAAAATCTATATTAAAATTTAAGAGTTGTATTTATGAAATGTGTGTCTATAAATTTGCATAGTACTTTGTAGATAAACCCAAGTTTTTTTTATTTATACTATAAAAATACCAACTTATCGAGTCTAGTCAGCCATTTCATTTTCCAACCAACTACAAGCACCGAACCCATCACAGGTGTTAATAAGAAGCTCGAGATATAATCACCAACTTTGATAAAATCAGTTTGATGATGCTTCTGTAAATAAAATACATAATGGCAATTCCGATTTTTATTTATTCGTTAAAAAACAAACATTACACAAAAAGACGTCTGTGAATGTGAACACTTTCAAAACAAGTAGGAACCTATTTCAAAATTTATTTTATATTTCTAACTACGGAAGTGAAGACTATACCTCAGTTCTGTTTTATTCTATATATTGCTTCAAGATTCATACCCCTTTTCACGAAACAAGAACAAGGTATAGCTTAAATAGAAATCGCTTAATATAAAGAATAGCATAAGCAGATTTGTCGTTTCATCAAACCTGTAACGCTAGTTAATGCCTTACTAAGCACTTCCTAGTTAGGCAACGTTTGTCTATAATTTTGCATGCTTCAGTTCTGCTTCTTTTTTTTTTAGTGAATGGCCTATTTGTGTATACACAATCCCACCAATATCACGTGAGTCGCCTTTACACGTAAAGACACAATAACAAAAATATATATGTCGAGGTGATAAAACAAGAAAAATTATATGTGGTCTTATATTTACACAAGCACCCAAGTCGTCATTGCCCATATATAAAAAAACAGAAAATTCAAAAAATCTCATTGTTTATATCTTAATTCTAATATATATACCTCCTCCTCCTTTGATTATATCCCTTGACACATCCGTTATGGCCAAATAATAGATGTATCTGTCACATAACACATATGCCCAGCCATTGCAAAGTGTAAGACGCCGCACAATGCATGTCCAACCTTTAAGCGTTGCTTAATATCGTTAGGTGGCTCCTTGTCATTGGTGGAACGCATTTTCACCTTAGACAATGTCCAAATATTTAGGTGTCAGATTTGGGCAACTACTAAGTTTAGTGAAAACGGACATCACTTTTATAAAAACCATGAATATTCAATAAACATTTAAATAAGGGCACAATTTATTTTTTACGGTACTTAAAAAGTATCGTTAATATATCGGACATTATTTGTCTATCTGGTTTAGTTTCCTTACAATTATCTTTCAATTAAAATGTTTATAATACATACTAATGTGAAAATGAAGTTTTGAATGATTTAATTCATATTTATCCTTTTAGACGACCTAACGGGATAATTAAGGGTACGTATAAAATAAACAGATATTATTTTAACCTTTATCGTTGGACTCTCCATCTAACGCAAGCTCGTCATAATCAACAATTAGAACAGTAATTTAATGTCAAGTACAGTACAACAGACACATAGGTACACATAACTTATGTATGACAGACACATACATATAACAATAATGTGCAAATCAAATATTATTAAGAAACATCACAAAGAGAGTTAACAATCAACGCTACTCAAAGTATGGCAGTTGTTGCAAACTATTTTTAAACTCTCGGTTGTCTGTCTGTATGTCATTTTCTTGGTAACTAATGGAGCTATCCCACGCGTATTATGTAGCTTTCCGTAGATGAAAGAGTCTTATGTATATGACCACGCGAGCGAAGCCACTAGCGGAAAGTTAGTATAACAATAGGTCGCAAATGGAATTTCTTTACAGTGATACTAAGTACCAACAAGCATTGAGTGTTTCTTCAGTACAAAGGAATATTTATAATAAATCAAATAAAAAACGTAAGCCACACAAAATCAACAATAAAATTTTATGCTTACCCATATTTGTCACAGCTACTAGATGAGAGAACATTTAAAATAGTAACAATAATGAAAATAAATTAATCATAACATGTTTATATCATAAACTTCAACCCAAAGTTATTTATTGAAAGAAAAGATTACTACTTAAACCATACGTAATAAAAAAATAAAGAAAGCAACATTTAATCATATATCCACTACTGAATGTTACATACACTGTGCATTGGATGCATTTATAAACGTTTTGGATTGGTCTATATATAATTATTACACGCCAAGTAGTCTCTGAGTGAGGATACTTTAAGTTCAGAGCGACATTTTTGAGTATAAAAATTTGTTGATGCATAATTTATAACTATACATTGTAGATACAATGAAAACAATATCACTGTTCTATTTTATTCTATGCGTTGCTGTGAGATTCGCATGCACAGGTAAGTCGTTTGAACGATCTATGAATAACTCAATAAATATTGACGAAATCCAAACGGAATAACAAAGTTTATGGTTATAGAAGATCATCAAACCTAATTAGGGTAAACTGCACCTGAAGTTTCTAAACTTGATAATTAAGGCTAAATAGGTCGCCCAATCCTTAACAATTATACTTGTACGATTTTTTAAGCCGAGTGACCGATAAATTTTCTTTATGAAATTAATACTGATGAAACTGATCAGCTAAATTAGTAATCATTGTTGAAGCTTAATTCTGTGGCTTAATGCACATTAGGTAAACTGCATTTAACTTGTAAAATTTGCATCTACAGAATATAACATATATAGGTGTGTGTACTGGTGTTTCCTAAGAATGTTTTTTTCCTAATGTATTATATTTTACTGTTTTCAGCTGAATTATGCACTCTGCCAGGCGGAGGGACAGGCAAATGTATTTCGATCAACAATTGCCCGATATTATCTTTAGCCAAAACTAACAACAATATAGCTGATTACAAAAGAAACATAAGATGTGGATCTCATGATGAGAACAAAGTAAGTTCGGGTTCAGTTAAGTTTTACACGTTTGCATTAAAATTTTATATACAAAACCGTTAATTCTAACACTTGTCAACACTAAAAATTATTCAGAATAATATTAAGCTGATATGATAAGAGTTGAAAAGTAAAAGTGTTTTATTACTTTCATTTGTCACGATACGTAATGTCTTCTGAATATAACAATTTTACCCAAGATAATGCTGACATTTACTCAACAGTAATTGACTTTGAAAGAAAAAACTTTGACTTTGAAATTGACTTAAAAAGCTTGTAGCGCTAACGAAATCGGAGACGAGGAAAAAAGTTAATTACTGTTAGAGAAAATTTTGATTATAAGTACTTTAACATTAATTTTATGAACTTGTCTTGCAAATTTAAGTGTGTATTTAAGTTATTATTTACGTGTGTGCACAAATAAAAGTTTGTTTAAAAAATATATATACGAGTATTATATTTTTTGTCTGATGTCAATATTATATTATTTTTGGCATGAATAAAGAATTATTATTATTATTATTTGCTCGTTCTACTTATTAGTCAAAAGACGTAATGACTTTGAAGGAGCTTATTTGAATAAACATATTTTTACTTTGACTTTGTTGTTGTTTACTTTCAGGTATGCTGTTCGGATTGTTTTACTCCAGATGGAAAGGCGGGTGCATGTGTGAGCGTACAGGAATGCCCCAGCTTAAATATAACTAAATCAAATTACGACTTCATACGGAATTCAATGTAATATTAAAATATATATTATTATATTTATCCGTTTCCTTTGAGAAGACTACTATCTATTCACACTCATGCAAGCCAGATATAATAATAATCATTTAATCCTCATTATAATCAACCTTTGAATTAGTGAGTCCTCCATCTCATAAATACTCGTTACAATTAACTTAAAACAGTTACTTATTTATTTATAACAAAACTGTCACAATAAGCTAAAGATTTAACACTGATAGCATATCGCAAATAATAAGGACAGTAAGAGAATACAATAATTTATTAGGGTAGTTTTAATAATATTGCACGCTGAGAATGACAATGTCACTAACCAAAAACGACGCATTTTTCACTTTTGGCAACATTTTTCTTTGTTAAAGTATAAACTTTATAATGCAAAGATCCCTGTGAACGTAGCTTGCATAGAAACTGCTAGGTGGCGTAGTGACGATACGTTGTTTAGAGGGGCGGGTTACACTTTCTTGAACTCTAAACGCTCATTACTCAAAATCGCATTTTTTGCATTGTGTCACTATCGTTCTCAACGTACGATATGCGGTGTTTATTCTATTATTGAGCAGGTGGATGGCGTAAGTAAATGTATGAATTGGAGAATGTGAAGACGCGTACATGCGTACGCTCACTAGAAACTTGTTGAGTGGTCCAAGTTGGAGGAGATTGGAGATTCACTACTTACTTTATTTTATTCCCTTATTGAATTTAGTTTTCATAACCTAATGTTAGAGGTTTACTTAGTAGTACACGTTTCAAAGACATTCGATTCATTTTATATATATGATCTTTTTTATTCATGTGTTTGTATAAGAAAAGACCCATAAAAATTAATTATTTCCTAGCAAAAAATTTAAGGACCACACGACACCTCTTCTGATCAATTTTGGTTAAATCAATGAATTTATGCTGGCTTAAAATGATTTTATATATATACAATTGCCGAACTGTCAGAATTCTGCATTCTTCATAAAGTGTTTGTATGCAGAATCTTTTAGGCTTGTGAAGCATTACTTTAAGAACGGCTCTTTGAGCTCTTTCAAGCTCAATGTGGTGTGTTGAGGCAGCCCCTCTCCAGACGGGAATTAGCGTAGAGATACATATACTTTTTTGACCATTTCTACGTCAGATATATCTCTTAACCCTTAAAAATTGAAAGGAGTTTCCTTACGTTTCCACTTAGTGACGAGATATAAGGTTACCAAGTTAGGTTTTTATCTAATCTTTTCATAGATAAAAACCTAACTATACTTGCAAACATTTGAAATACAATCTATATGTAACTATTACAGATGTCTTAATGGATTTGAAGTGTGCTGTGGACCACCACCCTCTGTCCCGGAACGGGGTAACTGTAAAAATCAAATCACTGCCTTCCCACCAAATCCCGAAACTGAATGCTGCGGTATCCAAGCCTCTGGACAGAACAGGATTGTCGGTGTGTATTTTGTCTTAATATGCATCATCGAATCTAATTAGTGGAGGTTTATTTCTATATCAACACTCAATGAATTCTATTATACAAAACCATTTCTCAACTTTAAGGTGGTACATCGACTGGAATAGATCAATATCCTTGGCTTGCTCTGTTGGAATACAAGATTGGTAACCAAATATCACTAAAGTGTGAGGGTGCGCTCATCAGTAACAAATATGTGTTGACTGCGGCTCACTGTATGAGGTCAAATAAGCCGTAAGTTAGACAATTCCTAAGTAACGTATCAATCGGTGGACGTACCGTTTTACCCAATAGTTTAATCTATTGTTTTAAAAATCCATGCACACTAAAGTTGTTATTCCATATTAAATTAGTCCCCGATATTTCAAAAATATTTGGCTTAGTTAATAGTGGTACGGGTATCCAAAGCACTCAAAAGAGGGTAGATCGATATATCTGCCAATGACATCTACCCGCAAAAATTATCCATTGTATCACTTAACTCCGTAATCCTGGCGCTTGCAGTATTGCTGAAATATCGGGAGATCATACAAAATACACTAAATTTCAGTTTTTAATTTAGTTCTTAAAGAAATGTACTATTCATCAAACACACACATTCTCCCATGCACTGATCTGATCGTAACTTATCTGTCACAAGACTAGAACACGTGACTGTTACAAACAGTTACAAAGATGTTTCATTATTAACACAATGACCGTTATTACAAAGTTCTGCCACTCTATTTTATTTTGAAAACCAATATAAGTTATGTAATTGCCCGTTACTTTCAGAGTAAGCGTTCGACTAGGAGAATATGATATCACACATGACGGTCGAGACTGTTTGACCAGTAGCACGGACTGCACCGATCCAGCCGTCAGTATTCCGATAAAGGAAATCTTAATACATCCTGAATACGACCACCCACTTAAACGAAACGATATTGCTTTGATCAGGCTAGACGGTGTGGCTAACTATACAGGTAATTATGAGAACGAAACAGCCACGAAAATAAATGAACGTGAAGGGTTTTGAAGTATATTAATATATAAATTTTTCGTGTATTCTTGCTCATTGCCTTTATGGGTGTATAGCATAACTGAATATGAACTGTTCTTATATTAAGACATGTGGATTTTTAAAAGTAATAAATCTTTTACAGATTTCATCCGACCCATTTGTCTGACAACATTAGATGTATCACAGCTCTCACCTAATGTATCACTATATGTAGCCGGTTGGGGTAGAATAAGCTGGAACTTAAAGTACAGCAGACTGAAGCAACATGTCAAATTGCCAATGGTGAACATGCAGGTAGATACATATAAGGCTATAGCGACCACCCTTTTGGGGGTCAATTACATAATTAAAAACTACATTATATAGTGGGTCGGTGGCGTAGTAGATAAGCGCCGCGGCCCGCGATCGTTGTCGTTAATCAACTTCCACAAGGGTCGATCACGGGATGGGTGATCAAAGAATTATTATATCGAGCTACTTCGTGCTTCGGCAGCACGCTATGCCGTTAGTCCGGGCTGCATTGGCAATCGTTAATATCCTCCAATCCGTATTCTCTTAACCATCTATAAGGAAGGCCTGAGCCCCTGCAGTGGGGACGTAAAAGGGCTGATGATGATGATGACATTATATAACATTTCAAATGTAATTTTTAATAGTTTTTATTATTCATGAAAACAGGCTAAACAGACATCAGTTTAAAATTAGGAACCCTCTGCACGCGCGGCTACTTGATCTAACTTTAACTTCACTACCTATTTTTTATATTTTTTAGCGATGTCTAGGGATGAACTATACCACCTAGGTATCGTTACTTTTACTCGATGAACTATAGATACCTACTCGAATAATTTAAAAATTCCTCACCAACGTTGTCATTTTCAAAGATCTTTAGAGCAGATACTATTGATAGTCAATATCAATACTCTGTTAACGGAATAAAGAGAAGCAGGTCCAGGCATAAAACACAATGAATACAGTTTGAAGTATACGTACTGACGACAAAATTTTGGCAGTGCCCCCTCTAGACAGATCTCTACTCTTTAACAACTGGGTGATTTTCGGAAACTTGTACTTTCGTTTCGAGACATCCGTTAATATTATTCTTCAAAAATAATTAATCTTAACTGATTTTTTAAAATCTATATAGAATCAATCTTATATAGCTGATGTAGCAGATTCTGATGTCACCGATTAAAAAAATATCAGATGTTTTTAACAATTATGGCGTATGTTTCGAACGGGAAGTTCAAGTTTTCAAGAATCACCAACTACATAAAATAAATAAAGGTTAGCAATGCTTAGTCATAAGACAGGGAGAGGAACCCTGTGCCCATGGGACTTTTTCATAGCGATGTCGCAAAACACTAAAAAATTCTACGAAACACATTTTCTTTAATATACCTATGTGTGTGTATATATATATATATTACAGGACTGTCTAAACGCGTATCATATAAGAGCTGGTGAGAAAATACAGCTGTGGAGTAAGCAACTGTGTGCTGGTGGTGAGTACGGACGTGACGCCTGCAATGGCGACAGTGGCGGTCCTCTAATGATGGAGACATTACTTCCAAACAATTTAACAGTTATAACAGAGGAGGGCATAGTCAGCTATGGATTACAGGAATGCGGCACTAAGGACGTACCAGGCGTATATACAAAAGTATATGAATACAACACCTGGATACGCAGACATATAAGACCGTAAACAATTTTATTATAACAATGATGAAGATGATAAACTTAATTTACGCAGACACTGACTACTATATAATTTTACACTTTTCATTCACATTTCCCAACACTGTGTTTTCTAATAACAATAGTGGAATTGCATTCTTATTCTCGAACGCAATCGCGACCGATCGACATTGCAATAGGAGTGTAGATAACTTTTTTATATTTACATTTTATAGATACATGAAATATATCTAAAAAATATTTTTAAAAATATCACTCATATAATAAGTTCTAAAAAAATATATTTTCTAAATTGCCCTCGCAAACGCCTCTTCTGTGTCATGGCGTCGCCGTCAATACAAAGAATATTGTTCTATGTATGCATAAAGTTGAATTATCTATATGCTGATTTGAGTAAGAGGGTCGTGACGTCACGCGCTGTTTGCAGTCACGTGACAAAGAGCATAACATATTTGTTTTATCATAATTAATTTAAGCAAAATTATAAATATAATAAGATAAGTGTGATTGTCGGTAATAGTATAATAAACACTACAAGAAAAAAATGTTTTTATTTTCTTTTTCTGTCTACACCCTACCAGAGTAAAAGAGTAAGTGCTCTTCATACATACGCACCGAAAATGGTTTGTATGTGAGCGCGCCCGTGCGTATGCGTCGTCGCACGCACACACTTACAGAATTATCGAAGTTATAGGAGTTCAAGGCACGAGTGGCAGCTCGCCAGTCGTGGCTAGTACGCCGTGCTTGCATATATTCCGCGTCGCTATATTACCACTCGTTATCAAATTTCTGGACGTACACAAGATGGCTTTGAAAACTAAACCAAAATATTGTATATGCATTTATGAATCGAGTATATGGTATTTAGCATTTTTAAAGATCAAGAATCTTAATACAAAATGCTTAAAAAATCCACTTGGTCCCTGGCACCCTGAGATGGGAATCGAACCCACGACCTTTCGCAATCCGGGCGACTGCTCTAACCGCTGAGCTACCCAGGACCTAACAGGACTGACGAATCTTTCAAGCACTTGTTACTTTTGCGCTACTACAGAGCGTATTCTCATCAATATTCAGGCATCCACCCAAACAGCCGAAATAAATATTATTACAAATATTGAAACTTTCGATAAAGATGAGAATTTTGTTCTAATTATTATATTTTGATTATTTTAGCATTCACAATGCCATACTGAACATGATTCTTAATACAAAATGCTTAAAAAATCCACTTGGTCCCTGGCACCCTGCACATAAGCACATAAAGCACATAAGAATATGGTATTTCATTCTTTAGGTATTCGGGTAATTTATTATATCATAAGTCATTGTAATATTGTGTAGCTATTTACCCATCGAAAGTGTTTATGAATTATTTCTGCTGAAGATCTCGTTTACCAGATATCAATTTGTAGTTTAATTTGTTAAATCTCTATGCCCGAATACGGTCAAATTGAAATTGATATTGAATTATATATTTGCGTATTAGACAATGTAATATAAAAAAAAATATGGGCCATAGTTAGAAACTGTTTGTACAAAGCACATAATCTTTAAAAATTAAGATCGGCATCTTATTTTGTTCGTAACCTTAAAAAAAATATAAATACATAATTCATTAAAACCACGTTTTAATTTTACAAAACACTAAATTGATGATATGACATAGGTATGAAATATGTAGTAAGCTCCTGGTCTATATATTAAAAAAAAGTTGTATTATAGTTCCCGGATGCTTACCATACCGGGGGAAACGATATTTTAGAGATCGATTGACCATACATTTCTGACGATTAAATGACCTATGAGCGACAGCCCTACATGTTTAGGCTATTACCTCTCGCTCGGGTCTCGAGTGCACCTACTTATATATTTGTACTATGCCTATACGGTCTGTATTGTGCCGTTTCGTACCTACTCTTGATTGGGTACATTAGCGCCACAGTATGCTAGGGAACCAATCGAGAGTGCGGAACGGCACATTGCTGCAATGTCTATCGGTCGCGATTGCGTTCGAGAGTGAGGGGGCTGAACTCCTTAATAATATTATTACATATCAAAGTAGAATTGTAATTTACACCTGCTTTATACACATGCATAGAGGTGTCACACAATTAACAATGACTTTTGCATCGCATTTGAGATGATCACGTGGCGTTCCATGTGATCTCTCTCTGGTAACTTTATAAAATGTACCTGTAGAATACTAAACATTGTTAAATTAAAAATAAGTTACTGTTACTGTCAAATTGTAAACTAAACGACGTTGGTGTCTGGGTGTGTTGGTGAATTATTGGAACGCGCTACAGTTTTGTTTCAATCAGTACACATAACTCTAGTGATTATAAAGTGACAATGGTAGCATTTATAAACCACAGCAGTGGTAATACAGTTTATATAGTTTACTATACTATACGATTAAAAAATGATTGTAATAAATAAATTTAGGAACAAAAAATAGTTAAGTTAAACACAAAAGTCTCTAAGAGAAAATAGTTTATATCTGCAGAACATGTTCAGTTTTTCTCTAAAAAAAAAGCAGAAACATTTTAATTCTCTAAAACAAACAGTGTGTCAGTTCGCATCGATATTTGCATTATCATGAATATATCTCTTGCAGTGTTACTACGCCCCGCCCACGCACTACTACCAGTGACATTCCACTGTCCGTGAGTGCCGGGTACAAAGATGCGTACTTGAGTGAACACTTTTTTGATTGTTTGTTTTAAGTTGCATCTGCATTTCGCCTACTTTCAATGCATCTAATTGCGATATTTGTTAATTTTTCTACTGGTTGTGCTACTCGGACTCTTGATTCTTGCTTCCACGAAACCTCAGCTTTGTTTATTTGACTTCGATTCTTGCCATAGAACCTCTGATTTTTAAACTGGACTGATATATCGTGTGTTTTGTTATTATATTGCTGTATAAATAAAAAATAATGGCGTGTAATTTAAAAAGAGAAGAAAGAATTCGAATACTACATGTTTCGGTAGGTCATTAAAATATGAAGTTTTATATATTTTTTTATATTATTGAGACTATGTAAATAGAAAAACATTCCCTTTTTATTGGGTCTTTGACTTAAGTCGTAATGTCTTCGATTATAGATAGACTAATCTTACAATGAAAACAAAACAATTATACATGATATCACAAAATACTGATACCTCGTGCGTTCATAAGTTTTGAGACAAGTTTTCCTGTAAGCTTTGTCTATTACACAATACAGCGGTACAAAGAGATAAGTTCTCTGCAAGATCGCCAAAGGTGTGGTTTAAAAAGTAACGCAACTTAGGTACATTTTTGTAGTTCTTTAGAACATTAGGGAACTGTATGACCTACTTCAGAGCAATTAAAACGTCTAGGAGTGCGCATATTTCTATTAGTTTATATCGTGCCAGAGCCAGGACCTTTACCGATGCTTTTCTTGTTGGTTAGGTTTGGTTATTTTGCGTTGTTATTTTATCTTTATATAGGTTTTGACAGTGATATTACGTAAGTGTCGATGAAGTTTATTAGGATCTTTGAAGTTTGCCCCTTGAGCGTTCAATCTGATATTATTATCGTAGATGCGATGTTTTATGTAATCGACTGCGTCTTTATGTTACAATGATTTAAAAGTTTTGCCTTAGCATAGAAACACTCTTCTAATATTTCCTTTATAGAATCTCTGACAATGGATCCGCATAGTTTCTATCATCAGGGAAATTTTGCAATAATTTTCTCTGCCACTCCTTCCAACTAAAATTTACTGACGATAAACCTTCATACCAAAGCCACTTGGAATACAATATCATCAATGACTTCTAATAATATACATGATTATGACATTAATTAAATTTCTTATAATAAAATATACAATAATCCTTTTGACATTACAAATTTTTTAATAATTTTTTTACAAACTTGACCAACAAAAATGACTCTGCGAAGCATCACATGACATTTCAAGCAATTATTCACGATACTAATTCTTCTACAATATTTCTGAATCCTATAGATATAAATGAAACTTATACAAATATTAAACTTGACGAACACAAAGGACTCTGCGAAGAATCACATGACATTTCAATCAATTATTCATGGTACTAATTCTTCTACAATATTTCTGAATCCTATAGATATGAATGAAACTTATAAAATTATTCTATCTTTAAATAATAGTAGAGCCAGTGGTTACGACAATATTACTACATACATTTTTAAATTGTGTCCCTTTTTTATATGGCATCCGATTACTCACCTTATAAATCTATCATTTACCGAGGGGAAGTTTCCAGACCAGCCAAAAAGCTCAATTGTAAAACTCGTTATATAAGAAAGGCAACAGGATGGATCCAAATAACTACAGACCTTTAACCTTAGTGCCAATATTATCCAAAATCTTCGAAAAGGCCATGCATTCGAGATTGATAGATTTCCTAGACAAACACGATTACTTTCATCCAGATCAATGTGGATTTCGTAAGGACCGCTCAAATTCTCTAGTATGATTTGAGTTTATACGCTACATTACTGAAAGCCTGAATAAAAAAACTCATGTTATATCATTATGGTTAGATACGAATAAAGCCTTTGATTTCATTTGCCTCTCTAAACTTCTATTCAAACTAAGTAATTCTGGTATCAGAGGCAATGCTCTTGAATGGATAGAAAGTTTAAAAAAAAACAGGTTACAAACTACTGAGGTAAGCAAAATTGTACGAAAATACAAAGTTAATATAAAACAAACACATAGATCTGATCTTAAAATTAAAAATGACGGCGTTCCTCAAGGAAGTATTCTTGGACCACTGCTGTTTCTGGTGTACATAAATGATTTGCTACATAGTACAAGTAACAAGTGCATAATGTTTGCAGATGATACAACAATAATCATTAAGCGTGACAATAACAATATTGACTCTTTGGACGTCAAATAATCACAGCTTTATCAGATGTCACTAAATGGTTAGATGCAATTAATATAAAATTAAATATTAACAAAACTCAATTAATCCA